CAAAGGCCTGGTCCAACATGAAGGAGGACTACATCATCAAGACATGCTCAGCCTTCAGAGGCCGTCTGGAGGCTGTGATCAGGGCTGATGGTGCCAATATTGAGTAAAAGATATTGTCAGATGTTAAATCAAATATTTATAATTAAATACATTTTTTGTAAAATCTCTCCTTGTCATAGTTCTTCATGATGTATATCCAGACATGAGTGTAGCCATTTTTTTGCTGCATACTGTATATGAAAAATGACCTTTAAGAAATGAATTTGGGTGATGACAATCAGCTAAGGTCAGCCATGCAAGAATGGTTTGACTCCAAGAAGAATCTTTTTACAATTCCAGCATTAGAAATTGTAGGATCATTTGAAGCATGTCATTGAGCATGATGACCATTACATTGAAGATTGATAGTAAAATAAAATCTGTGTCTGCTTGGCTTGTGGATCAGGCAGAGAACTCATTGGCAGACCTGATATTACAATTCCATTAAAAATTCCAGAGAAAAGTTGTGGCAATCAAGATTTAAAATAAGATTGCATTTTCTTTAATGACATGATAATAAATCCCTCTTTAGTGAAATGTGGGCCAACTAGCAGGCTGGGTTTTCTCATATTTCCAACTATCAGCATTTGACAATATGATTGTCGCAGGGGTTAACATTGGTCCCATTGGTCTGACAGGGATCTGGAGGGTAAAAAAAAATGGAAACATTGATGATATATTGGTTCCTACTGACCTGACACTGGGAGTAAAATAAGCCCATTTCATCATCACCTTTCACCTTTGTCATATTTTTCTCATGTTTCAAGAAATACAATAACATTTAAGCTATGTTCACTATTGTTCAACCATATTTTTCACAGAAATATCCTCATGCCTGCATGATTAGTGAGTGTTTATCTTAAAACTGGAGAGAACAAGAGCAGAATGTTGATCATATGGCAATATTTGAGCAACTCTTTGATAGTAAAAATATATCCTCTAAGCAATTACCATACCACTGACATTGCAAGAATGAGAAAATCAAATTACCTGGATGCTTCTTGTTGCAAATTCTACTCCAATGGTTGACTTGCTTTCCAGATTGAATTCATTTCGAGTGAATCTAGACAGCAGGTTACTCTTTCCTACTCCAGAGTCGCCAATGAGCACCACTGAAAGAAAAGGGCAAGAGATGAAATGACTAACACTTTGACAGTAAAATGCCAATGAGCATCAACTTTTAAAAATAATAAAGTTGAGAATCTTAACAAAATTTCATTCAAACTTTCCAGAAAACCTTCTTAATGAATTATGCAATAGAAATATGTATAACAAAAAGATTACACATTTTACAGTCTTATGGTCACCATGAAAGAGTTAAGATGGATCCAGCAAAAAGATGCAAAAAAGATGCTGATACTGCCATCCATTCATCATCCTTAGTCCAGAATATTAAGATTTTGGAGAAGAAATTCAGTCAGTATGTGTTACCTCAAAACATACCTTAATTCTCAACCTCCCTGACTAGTCCGAGTTCAATATAGCTATTCCCATTTAACTTAAAGTGCAAGCCTATTAGGAGAATTATGTATTTTTCCTCATATCCAGAGTTGACATGTGAATCTTAAAACCATGCAGCTGACCTGAGCCATAAACCCATTCATCTAATGCACTTCTTGGACTAGATTGAGTTCTTTCAGTTTCCCTAGCACACCTGGGGAGGGGGGGGGCTCAAAAAGCATGATTAATTTATATTTGCAAGGCATGACTCTTTCAACATATAAAAATATCACATGTAACTCTGGATCTTGAGCTCATAAGGGCATATGATGAACATGTCCAGCTGCTTGTCACAGGGTTGCATCAGTTAACAAACTGTAATATAGATTGCTAACCCTAATGAACATTTTGTGTACAGAGGATCCCAATGGGAATGGACCTGGAACTGAGACTCAGAGTAAAAGTAAGCCTATACAATAGTCTGCCTGCTCTGAATTCTCATATCTAAAGACAATTCTCATATTTTTGCCTAAATTGGATGTATTTATTGAAAAGCTCAGGGAAAACTAGGTTTATGGAAATATGCACAGGATTATGCCCAGTTGAGTTTATGCTCATGGACTAGGTAACTTTTGGCAAGGACAGTCATTCACTGAGTCTGTCTCTAAGCCATGAGTCACCAAACAGTCATTGGATAAATGCTAGCAGAACAGGCCTACATGGCTTTGCCCATGTTAACCATAGACATAGTCTTAGCATTAAGGCCAGACAGCCAATTTAAGGCCTATTTTGCACTTGAAAAAGAGGCTGAAACTCCATAAATAGCTTTAAAGAAGTTTTTCATAACCTGAAACTCTTGAAAATATCCATGTTGGGCCCAATTTTGGTCTATGTCATTAGCAGTAGGATAGGATAGGCCTAGATGATCACATTAGGTTAACTTCATGTTAAGTCGCAGAACATGGGCCTAACTTTGCTTCTTACCTTTGAAAAGGAAGTCATACTCGTCGTCTCTCGTTCCCATCGTGCAGAGTGCTGATTACCGATGAAATTTAAAGCCAGCAAAAAGAATGTCCCGATCACCGAGGAGGGTAGTGACTGATTTGCACACTGCACTAGAAGCAACTTTTTAGTTCATGGGAAATTATCTATATGGGTTAACATAAAGGCCTACGGTCAACTCCGATGACGACGGCAGCGATAATGGGCATGAACAACTTGCGCCTGCAATCCTGCACGGAAAGGGGAAACGTTTTATCTCGATTAGGTAAAGGTATGTCACAAGTCCTATGTGTTACTGTGGAATATAAATTAACCTAAACAACGGTAACACACAGCGACAACGGAAGTTCGACACTGACTCCTCGAGTCGAACGACGACTCATTGAACGAAGGAAAAAAAGAGGTGGAGACTCGAGAGAGAGGAGCCATGTTCGCAGATTACGTCACGTGCGGTGGGAGAATAGAGCATCGAGCACCGATGGGAAGAGTCTCCATCTACGCCGGACTCCACTGTCTGTGCGTGCGATGTGTATGTGAATCATTCTCCGTGCCCTATTCATACGTTCCTCCATGATACTTAAGAGAAACAAAGGGCCCCATCGTCGCCTGAGATGTCGGCACAGTTCGGCACTCCGTCGCTGACTCACGTCAACACTCAGCCATTCTTAACCAGCCATAGCGTTCACGCATGGAAAGAACCCAGAGTATCGTCCTATTATTACAGCGCTGGGATTGAGGTGAAGAGAAGCGGGCAACCGCACGGGGTGCCAAAATTTGGGAAGAGGAATAATTTGGAAAAACTTGGAGTGCTCTTTTTGGAGCCCTCTGCTTACATACAGCTGAGTCTTCCTTCTTCTTGGAGGACTTTCCCTTTACTCGTGATTTCCGTTTCCCTCCCGCCCCCCAAAATTAATCATCTATGGTGCCTAGCGTTCTTTGTTGTTGCCCCAGGCACACCTCCCGGATTATCCCATGGATCCTGTGGACGAGCCTGTTTAATGCCCATGGAACCATATTTCTTTCGACAAGGGTCTCATCCGTTTCCAACCTTAGCAGTCTTCTACGATCGTCTCACAGGGGCGCAACCAAAGGGAGGGGGGGGGGAGGTTCAGGGGGTCTGAACCCCCCCCCCCCCCCCCCCCCCCCCCCCCCCCCCGGTCAAAGGGGGGGGGGGGGGGGGTTCAGGGGGTCTGACCCCCCCCCCCCCCCAAACCCTTGCTCATGATGGTATCTCTGTTACTTCTCCATCCCCCTTTTCCCCAAGGGTGAGGGATGCAGAAAGATATGAGTACACGCCAGTCACATGTAGCTACTCACTTTAGCAAAGTGAACCTGTGAAGGAAACGTCCTGCACATGTGACGCTGCTGAATTTTTTCTGCAAATGGAAGGACAACAATTCAAATAAAAAGCGTGAATCACGTACAGGTCAACTAATTTTCAATTATATGTCTGCGCAGTGATATTTGGGATGAATCCCGAAATTAATCTAGTTCAATTTAAGCTTTTTTCAGATATCGACTGTATTTTATCATTTCGAGTTAAAATTCCCTTTTCCACTATTTCATAACATTTTTCTTCGTTTCATTTTCCTTGTTCATGTTTTTGCCGAGTACATATAATTTGATAGCGCCTTCCTGAATTCGGAGACATTTGAGACAGGTCATGAGAACTTCGAACCCCCCCCCCCCAAACCTATAAGGCTAGTTGCGCCACTGTTGTCTCATCAAGAAAGAAAAGCATCTCGTCGTCCTTCATCCGGGCTCTTTCCCGAGACAGGTTTTTGAGAAGACACCAAGAATAATTTATTGGAGGGCCAATCATGAGATGGATTCGTCGTCGGCGACAGTTTCGGAGTTGGCTCCACGATCTCACTTCGGCTTAGGATGAAGACAAGAAGCGAAACGTGGTGAAACGATATCACATTGCAAAGGAATTGAGAGTGACGAGCGATTTTTCCGGGTGAATGGGTGATTTAGAGTTTGTGCGTATCCCGATTCCATCGGCCATCCGATCCAAGGTCTCCCAAACTCAGGAAATTTTCTTTCTCGATCTCATCAGGTATAAAATATTGAGTTTTATTTCGCCACATCCGACAGTTCGGTGCCATCTGGCAATCTTCTTATCTGAATTTGTCGTTCTGTGAATGTCACGGCAAGCCGGAAATTATTACGTAGTTATTGGAGTATTTGTGTGACTGCGGGCTGGATGATAACCCCAATCGAAGCAAACGCGAGGGGAGATAGGGAACACTCTGCTGTTTGACTTTCATTATTTCTTCTGGAACGTTTTTTTTTTTATGAAAAAAAATCTTTGATTGGTGACGGGGAGCATTTACCTCAGCAGAGGTCGGCAACAGGTTCTGCTCCGACTGCTCCCAAGAATTTATTACTAAGGGAATTCATAGCTTTTTTTCCCCAATCAGAACAAGGCTTACGAAGGAGTATTTTCTTGCCATCAGATTACAGTGGGAAAAAAAAAGAAGGAAAGAGAGAAACATCAGATATCAGATTCTAGCCAATAAATAAAAAACAACTAAAACAAACGAAATAGAAGTAAGGCAAGCGAATTTCAGCAAAAGAGGGTGCTAAAGTCGAGTTCACCCAGGTTCAGGTTCACCCCTGATCTGCCGCAGGCGTGTGCTTTCGTCATTGGCCTTGCAGAAACTCGTAGAGCAACTTGAACACCTACTTAACCCTAGCAGTACAAAGAGAGGGGGGGGGGGGGGGGCACGAAACCCATAATTTGAGGGTATAGTATATATACTCAGTATACAACATATATTAATTTTACTCCTATTATGATGCGTAAATTGAGTTTTATGCCTAAAACTTGAAATTGTAGCTATTAAATAATTTTGAATATCAGGCCTCCGATGTTTGGTACTTCGCGGAACAAACAAAAAAAGAAGCTCGGTATCGCTAGGGTTAAGATGTTCAAGTTGCTCCACCTGTACATGCACAAATGCAGGATGGCATGAGTTTATCGAGTCGCGAAGCACATGTTATACATCGTAATGGGAAGATTCATCGAGTTTGAACGATGGGAAGTGGGATGTAATGACGAGATTCTCGACTGCACTGCTCGGTGAGTAGTTCGCAGTCGAGGCCGTTACGGGCTAGTAACCACCTCTCGGTGAGATTTCTCAGCAGGCCCCAGGTCGGCAGGTAGCGTCCGCTGGCCCTACACGTGCGATACACATGAATCATCTCGATAGGGAATGATGCCATGCAGCGAGGCAACGATCGACTCACTCGCGAGCGGCGGGGTGTCGCGTGATGTCACAGAGTGCCCTCTTCAGGCATTGGCTCTTCTCCGTGGGGTGAGTGGAATCCGCACGATCGAGGAATCCGCCCAACCAATTCATCACGTCTTTGGCCACGTCCAAAATGTCCGTCATCCAAAAGCCATTCCCTTCGTCTTCCGATGTCTCCTCGTGCGAGTCGCCGGTCGATTCCTGGGCGAGAAAAAATACATCCTTGATTCTATCACTCGCTCGCTCGCAGGTCCCGATGACACGAGCGCATTGCTCACCGCAGCAGTCACATGGCGCCTGATCGCAGTCTAGAGACTGGTATTTGTAATAATATTCTGTAATATCACGTAATGCTATTTGTAATGATGCTCTCACTCACTTCATCTGCGGTTCTGCTCTCCGGCGATAACAGTCCGGGGGTCCTCTCTCTTGTCGTGCCTCGCCGCCTCAGAGTACTGGAAATAGTATCCCAGAGATAGCTCGAGTCTCCACTCGTATTGCATTTTCAACGTTACGTAAAGAAAAGAAAGTCTGACTCGAGCTCCTTCAACCGGGATGCTCGAGAGAATCCAAACCTCTGCAGGTCCTGACTTCGATTTTGAATGACGGTCAACAGGAATACCTCCATGAGATGAGTCTTCAACGACTGTCTGAAAGCCAAGAAAGCATGGATTCGATGGAGGTTCGGCTCGCTCAGGTACGACTCGGATGTTTTCCCCCCGAAGCCGCGAGACGGTACCTGTGAAACTGCATGACCCTGAGTGCGGTCTCCAAGCTCCCATCCACTTCGGAATCGGGGGAATCGAGCGGAGAGAAGCGATCGTATTCGTTGCCATCCTCGGGGGGTTCGGCCGCGATGGGAGCGGCGCTCCCAGCGAAAGGTCGGATGGGTCCTCTCCTCTGTCCGGGTCGCGGGGGCAAAAAACCCCTCAAGGGTGGGGGTAATCGAGGGGAGAACAGGGGGATTCCGATGTTTCCAACCCTTCGCCTTCTCGGGAACGACGGCCTGAAAAAAAATTAAGGTCTGGCTTAGAAAATAAAGTATATAAAGACAGACAGAAAGGTCTCATCTCTTTCGAGACGATTGCGAGAGGGGAATCGCAAGAATTCCCCAATACAGATCGACGAGGAATCGTCTCTGATTAAAAAAAAAGGCAACGTTCTTATTTACCTCGATCGACTTGATCGACTACATTTAGTTCCAGTGGCACTAAAAGGGTTAATATGAAATCATTTCTGCTTCTCGTCTTATTGCGCGGAGTGGATGTAGAATGTGAACTCTCTGCCACCTCAAATAGATAACTACGAATGTGGTCTCAACTTTATTCCTGTTTTATATTAAAAATATATCCAAATTCGCCAAAAACATCACCGCATATCTTTGAAAAATACTTTTACACGAAATCGACTGAGAAGCAGATCTTTTAGATCTTGGCACATCCAGCAGTTTATTCACCTGCATCTGAATGTACTTACGGTTCAATGATTTTCACAAGTGGAACGTAACGACTACACGAGCATTCTTATAACGGTTGTTAATCGATCAATCACTTTAAATAATTGCAGAATATTATTTGAACGTAATGTGCCCATATTCTCTCTCAATAGTCTAGTAAAGTGACAGCCACAAAATACAGGTTGCGTTCAAATCTCGGAGGGTGGTGAAAGCACAAGTGAAAGTTTTGCGCGGAAAATTTCGTGGTGCACAATGAAATTTTTTTCGAATAATTGAGCGATGATAAGAAAAAGACACGTCATTCTTCACGCTTTCACCACATTCCGAATTGCGAACCCAAGTTGTGTTTTTGACGCAGTATCACTACTTAAATGAAATGACTCCACGAATACCTTGTGGCGCAGTCATTTGACTCGAGTCCATCCAAACCGTACTCTTTTTTTTGTTTTGACACGTCGGAGTATGCCAATTGGCAGAAGGAATGATCTCTCCCCTCAGCCTAAATGACGATCCGTTTTTGGAGCAGAGGGAAGCGTCGTATAAGGTACTCCAACAGGCATTTTCGGAAGGGGAGGGTCAGTATTAACCCTTTCACGGTTCAGTTTTTCCGAAACCTCCCTGGAGGACGATATTTCAGTACGTAGCCGTGAAAGGGTTAAGGAGGCAGCCGAATGAGACTCGGAGGGAGAGGATGCCACTGGGATATCCATTATGGTAGTCGGGAGCACGTACGATTACCGCCATCTAGCTTTCTGGCAGGCTTTGCTCAATTAGCATCACAATGCAGAGGTAGGGGTTCTGACACCATCATGGGGGTACAGTCAGCATCATATCAATGCTCGTAAGCGGGCAGTTTCTCTTTTTTTTTTTTTTTCCTCCAACGAAGCAGAGATTGAGAAACGGACTTCCCTAATCAAATAAGGAAGTCGGAGGGTTAGGAACAAGAACAAGAACAAACTTTTTGCTGCAAGTCGGGTCTCTTCGTCTGGGCAGGCAGTACAGTAATTCCTTCCTCAAAATGTGAGAATACCGTTGCCTAGCGACAGATGCCACCCTGAGGCGCCGGATGCATCAGAATAGCACCTTTCACGACTCAGGACACGACGTGTTTGACTTTTCAGCATTCCTGCTTCCACAGCACGATGACCTTCGCCCACGCCCAATCGACATCACGACAGCTATCATCACTCGAGTGGGCTGCAGGGGTGGATCCTGGAGGGGGGGGGGGGGGCACGACCGCCCCCCTATGGCCAGGTTACCACTCTGGGGGGGGGGGGGGGGGGGGGGGGGGGGGGGGGGGGGGAGTCAGTAGGAAGTAGGGTACCGCCCCCCACCATGAGAAATTTCTGTATCCGCCTCTGGTGGGCTGGGACGTAGTGCCACATCCTCCGGATTAAGGCCGGAGTGCACAAGGCGCATTTAGGCGAGATAACGGGGCCTTTAAGCCAAATAGCTCCTTTTCCCCATAGAATTCCACGAATTCTTAAAGGACCGTTAACTAAAGAAGGTTTCAGCATTCGGGCCTAAGTTCCCAATGCTTACTCTGTTTCCGAAACTCCAGGATCACCTCAGCAGTCGCAGTTTCCGCCCCCATTGTGACCTGAAATCCTTCATTTTCCAGTCTCTTAAACTGGAACCCAAATTTGGTAAAGCGGACACTCTTCGGAAACTCATTCACAAAATGGGGCAATTACGTCAAATTTAAGGGTGGTTATTTTGAGGAGACTTCGAGCTGCTCCAGGACGCATTATGGCGTTTGTAGTGAGAAATCCCAACGATGAACCCCCGCTTCTTAATGCATCAACCGATAGGGGCAGTGCTGTCACTTCTGAGATTCTCAAGGAAATTATCGCAAAGCCCGTAAAAAATTAATTGTCACAGGCTGATAACTTTGACAATTTCATTTTAAGTCGCGACGATTGTATGCGATTTATAGTACTACACCCCGGTGCTTCCTTTGGTAAACGCACAGAAATAATCAAAACTAGCTGGTCTCTCTGAAAGCCAGAAGAATCGCAATTGCAAAAAAAGTGGCATTAAAAGTGAAAAGAATTGCTATACGAGAACAAATAAAAACGGCTTCGAGAGAAATCACATTAAACCGCAACCTTTCACTCCGCTCAAAGCATTCATGTCGTAGTATTTACGAAGACAGTGTACTCTCTTCGATAAAAAGAACGGGAAGATGAGACGGAAACGTACCCATTTCTCAGCGGAGGAGACGCGAGCGGAAGGGCGGAGGGGATCCCATGCAAATCTGAAGTCAGTGACCGACCGCGTTTCGCGAATCCGGGGTCGAAGGTGACGAAGGACAGAGCATTCACAGACTCGACCGCCAGAGAGTCCGGCACTTCCCCGCAGGAGACGCGAACGAGGAGCCAAAACGCCAAGGACCTCACGTCCAACATGCTTCCCGATCCACGCCCATCACGACGCTCGCGACCCAGACCGCGGAGTGGTTCCACCCCGCCTCGGTTTTCGATGCATAACTAACGAAGGAAGACGAAGAGGTCGAGGAAGAGGAGGGTGGCGCGGGGCCGAGCGTTCCTGCACGAATGACTGACGGTCGACGGTGCTTCACGATCCTCGCACTCGATTTCTACGCCTCGCCGCCTGGAACGGGATCTTCTCTCTTCCTTCCTTCCGGGTTCTCTTTCCTGCTTCTTCCCACGTAATACCGGAACGATATTCTCTAATTCCACCAATATAGGTTCAGGTAATGTGAAATGCATCGATTGATTCTGTGGCGATGGAGAGAACATTTGTATATCGACCGCAACCATATTAATTTTGCTCGAGTCGTTATGGAAATCACGACTCGTATCTATATTTTTTTCTGGTCCACTAAGAGAGGGTAAGCGAGCATGAGCAGAGCAGATGACTGGTAGTCTGTGACAACCTTAATCGTTACAAACCGAATCTTGACTGAGCTTAACCTCTCAAGTCTTGGAACCCTGGAGTCGCGAAAGAATTTCATTCCTCACCGAAAGCTGCCGTCCGAAACGAACTTGGTTGGTGTCATGAAATGCAATGAGTTTGCGGTCGTACAGCGGTCCGTACGTCACGAGAAAAAAAAAAGAGAATAATGATAACCGTGATCCTTCATGCTGAAAGATAGAAGCTAAGCAGACCGACAAGCGCTCCTGCTCTCACCCGTGACCTACAGACATCTCTCTTGAATCTTATCCAAACCTTGAAGGTGAACGGCAAGCTACCGACACAAAACTTACCAACATGTGCTTACCAAAAGAAACCTATTTTACGGAGTACTTCTTCAATTTTGCATAGTACCAGAAAGGAGAACCAGCGAAGTGTTTACAATAACGGTAGAGCTATAGAGAAGAGACATGAGAAAGGGCATCACCCTCCCTTTTCCTAACTGGACTCAACTACCCAGGACGGGGGAGAAAAAAAAAAAGATAAGGCACCTAACTCTTCACATCTTTTCTGCTTCAATGATTTCTGCCGACTCATCTACAACTGTCACGTGGTCCTTCCTTATCTGACAGAAGGGAAAAACCGTGACGTGTCACCTTTTCAGGTCGTTCTGCCATTCCATCCAAGTCCACGCTACCGTACAGTATCCCAATTATGAATCGCGAAGAGAGGAAATGCATGCAATTATTATGGGAATCAGGGCAGATCCCTACTCAGGCACTCACCCTCCAGAAACCCTGATAGACATGCTGTGAAAAGTCATCGGTCTTCAGTTTGAGTGCTTTGAAAAGAACAGTGCTCCTGAAAACATGATAATGCCTTTAACATTAAACACAAAAGGCATAACATAAATACTCAAAAACTGACGCAAATAAAAATATCATATCCAAATCTTCAACTCCTATTCACACAAGCATTCACGGTCATATCATGATAGCAATAGCACAGGAAATGAATACATCTTTGTCCATCTTGAAAGCACCAATATTCAACACATTATGTCATCTCAATTACACTTCTCCAGAGGGTCTATACTAAAATCTATCCTGAATAATCAAATGATGTAGAATAAATCAGATGAATGGCATTGCACAAAAAATAAATTAGGTTTCATCCTTGAAATCACACAGCAAAAAAGGAAATCTTGCAATTTATTGACGTTGAAAACCACTTGCATCAACAGTATGTGAGGATGTGGTTTTGCTGTAGCTAATGTCTCAAGAAATGAAGGGATTCCCAGGAGAGTGAGAAATGAATTTTGCTTCTGCCAATGGAAGACCACCAGATAAATACAATACAAGCATCCAGATTGCACATGAAGACATAATAAATATATCTTTACATATATGTTATGATCAAATGTGTTATTTCACATGGATAATTAATGGAAATGGATGGATTAAAACTATATAAATGGCCATGGGTAATGGTAACCAGGGCATCTGCTTTGGTGATTGGTTAAAGGAAATTTAAAGGAGATACTCCTTTATTCACCATACATGTATAACCTGAATGAGCAAACGAAGAGAAAAAGGCATTGTCTTTTTTTGCAGTATAGAATATGGGAGGGATGACTGCTCAAGAGGAATGAAACTTACTTGATAGCTGTGTGCACTATTGTTTTTTAAAATTCATTTTCAAAGTTATATGTAGGTAGATGAATTCTTCTTTGCCAGGGTAACACAAGTCATGGAAAGTCACATTCACCAATAGCCCATGAAGCAGCCTGAGATTCGGAATGTGCCATAGAAATAATGAGCTCTGGAAATTTCTTTTCTCCCAGAAAAAACCCTGTATACAGAGAATAAGCAAAGGGTAAAAGAAAAAAAAAAGGAAACTGAAATGCCTCAGGATATCACAGAGGTGAACAAAAATGCTAGTCAGTCATCTCTAAATGATCCTGAATGGGGACGATGCTGCAGACTGGAACCAAACCATGGACTGCTCCTTAACCAAGTGAATACTGCCTCAGAGAATAACTTGAAGCTGCAAATGACAGAACAAGAACCTGAATGACAGAACTTTAAGATATAATTTCTAGGTCAAAGATTAGGGAAGATGGTACAAACCATAAAAGGAGTTCTCGTCTAATGGGTGCGGTGAAATGATGAATGAGGCAGAAAATGGTGACTCCAGCAAAGAGGAGATTGTAAATAAACACAATGGTGAAGTTCCCTAGCCACTCAATTCTGCCATAATTTCCAAGGAGATCAAAATCGGTGATCCCTACAAAGCACATGGAAGAATAAATAATTCACTATTTCATATTTTTCTACATAGCACAGATACCTTATTAGCTTAACCATAATGATCATGAACACAAACCTATGGTGCGGGAGAGAAGTGGAATAGCTGAGCTCAGGATGACAAGAACAGCAGAGTTAAAGATGATATGTGTCATCGGTGTGATGTGATGACGAGGTCGGAGGTTCCTCAGCCCAGGCAGGGTATACAAGCCCACTATTGACGTCACAGTGAGATAAAATACTATCACTACCTCCAAACTTGCTCCTATGGGTCCTAAGGCAGAAAGACTGCTGATCCCTAATGTGAATTGCTGAAAAAGAGAATAGGAACCTCACATGATACAAGTCCAATAACCAGTCATCATTATTTAATTCCCAGTTGATAAGGGATATGTGTTGGGAAAGGGGAAGGGAGGGATAGCAAGGGACAGACTACTACAGTATGATTTAAGAAAAATATATTCTTCCATCAGGTGGTCTTCTCATGATAGCCCATTGTGGAAATAATTAGGATATTTCACACCTTCAGTACAAACAATAATCGATTCACTAATGACAAAGACAAATCATGCTGAACTCATGGCATTTTGCAATTATGAGAATTACTGTCACAAAATTGGTGAAACTATAGCCATTGACATGTTTCTCCATGAGAAACACAGGGAAGTATTTAACCCCCTTTGAATATCATGAGTTTTAGAATGCATAATCTGAAGACATGTTTAAGATTGATCAAAATAACGATCTCAAAAAAACTGTTGAAGGATTTTGGAAAAAAACTCGTTAATACTGGGAAAGTATGAATGAATTTTAAAAAAAATCAGGGTTAATGGATGATAATGGCTGCCCCTTCCTCGCCAACTAAAGAAGCAGTCTTGCAAATCGAAAGTTTCTGCTCCCTTTAGTTGCAGTGCAAGACTGCTGGTACTATACTGAGTGACTGGAGGATAATCCATCTTCTGCCCATTTTTAGAGATTACAAATATGATACAAGCAACTCACTAGAGCAATTAGTCTTAATAACATATAGTAACATGGTCTGTAACATGGTTCAAGGAGAAGTAGATCATGTTTGACAAAGGCATTTCTGTTGAAGCAGTGTACTTGTACATCATCACTGGTAAGATTGATATATAAAATATACTGTTCTCCAATTGGGATTCTAGGTGAATGTATTTAATTGTAAAGGAAGTAATAAAATGTATTGAAGTTTAAATGAAAATAGGTTGAATAATAAAGTTTGGTGGCTTTCTTATGAGATGAGATTACATGTTCTTGACAGCATTTGAAGAGAAAGGTGGTCATTATAGGGAGACATGGTCAAGAATTTTTTGCTATTCAGATATTTTAAACATATTTCTCATAGACATTATGTCATTGCATCCATAAAGTTGCTGACTACATCACACATCACAATACAAACACATCACCATATTACATCAGTTTTACCCCACTGAAAAATTTCCCTCCAATTTTCACCAGCCAGGCAAATTGTTTACTGTCCTACCCTCCAGATGGCTGAAATTGCAGTTACTGCACAGATAGGCCAATGCAAAAGCAAGTCTAGAGTATCATGATGAGTGATACAAACTCATACAAGGGGAGGTAGGGGACAGGAAATTGCATAAAGTGAGGCAAGCACTAGATGGTTTTAAGTTCAACTTTCACTTAATAAACTGGATAATATACTTCCTGCTAGTAAGTAGACAAGCACGAATCAGCCTGAAAATTATGAGGGTAAACCAAGATCCTGAAAGTCAATTATTTAAATTATTATGATTTTTCTCCCAGAATATTTCCCTTTAACAACTTTTTATAACTTTGACAAAGATTAAAATATTGTGCAAATGTAAGGTGATGATTTCTGAGTTTCTTTTTTCATGCACTGACACCCTCAATTACAAGACTACATATTCTGCAGTTCAGTGTGATTTTAATGTAAAGCATTTTACTAAAGAAGCAGTGTAATTCAAGTGCAACATGATCTCAAAGCTGAATAAGGATTAAGGAATAAGCAAAACAGGCCTTCAATAATGAACCTCATCAAGAAATTTGAAGAAACTGGAGAAGACTGCCCTTCTTGAATTAAGCCTCATAATTTCCCAAACAATATGACCTAGATGGATAGTACGAGGTGCGTTCAAGTTTTAAGGTCTCCTAATTTTTTTCTGATAAATTACTTACACCAGAAAGTTGAAACTTCTGTCACTTCTCAACATAATCTCCCTGTAGACGAACACATTTTTCACAACGTCGACGCCATGACTCCATGGCTGCCGCGAACGCTTCTTTAGGGGTCTGTTTTGCCCACTCAAGAACCCTGTGCGCTGTACGGTGCTGCCATCTCGTTCATGCATAAACAAAGAGTACCCGCGTATTTTAAGCTCAAACGCACGTTTCTTTCTGCACCCGGTCCCCAGAAAAAAATTAGGAGACCTTAGAACTTGAACGCACCTCGTATTGGCAATTATAAAGCCAAAAGAAACTGTGTGAATCAACCACAATGGTTCTTTATTCTTATTTTTATATCTGAGAAGAAAGAAATGCACTCAGGAAGGGGTCTGGCCAAAGTTAAGGTGCTAATTCACCGAAAAAATAGAGAAAGAGGATATGTCTTCAACATTGATTTAAAGTAGGGGGCAAGATTGGACCTTTCTGCAAGTCAATATTGGTTACATAGCTCTCTTAACTACTGAATCAGCATCATAAAAGGTAGCACTATCATTATTTGTTGTAATATTGTCCCTTGATTCAGATTCAATCACAACCAATATAGGAACAATTCTGGGGTGCTACCAGAGTAACATTACTCAAAAAACAATATTAACAAGTGAAGAAGTCCATATTCAGCTGCCTTACCTCAGAACTCTGAGGAAGAGCTTTGATTCCAATGAGAAGTTGGAGGGAATTGTTAATCATCATCAATGCTGCAATCGCTGTCAATGCAACCAGGAGCAGCATGGCCAAGGGATAGCCTAAGTTCCGTTGCAGGGGAGAGGCTTGACGTCTTCGGTCTGCAACAGCAGGACCAGAATTTATTCAAAGGACAATACATTTTCAATGCATGTATTGTCTGGTGAGGACTATTTTGTTCCAGATCCAGAATTTAGATTTAGCCATTGTACATTCATGCCATTCAACATCAATGAAATTATTACTTGACACATTAAAGAATATGTAAATGTAATATGAAATTCTGCAACCTATTATATAGTTTGCTTTACAGCAACAGACTCTGATGAAGTTCATGTGTCCCAAACCTTCAATTTTGAACATAAAACAAAATAATCCTAACTCAACAATATTAAGACACACATCAAATTACTTACCAAGCACTTGAACTTCCTTTTGCTTTTTACAGAGTTCCTGTTGAAGTTCCCCATTGCTCAGGACACCATTCTGATGGTTGATCCATTCAACAGGTGCTCTTGCTCTCCTAGTACAGTTCTTGACCTCTTCTTGCTTCATACGCCTTTCGAGGTATGCCACTTCGAAACGTGAGGTGAAGTACTCTTCATGAGCGTCTTTCAGGAACTGTGGTTTCACTAGCAGATCTCCCAAAATTGTGAAAAGGCGAGCGAAGCCCACTGGAGTACACACTTTAAAACAATAAATAACATATTGAAACAATAACTACTAACATCATGGAATGATACATAAGTTGAACAAAAATAGTCTGATCTCACCTAGGAGAAATATCACTCCGAAGAAGGAAACACAGGCATATAGGAATGGCAAGTAAAAGCTCCACAAGCCTGCAAATGAAATGGATTGGAACGTCTCAAGGCATAATACATTTTTAAAAATCAAAGATATTAAAAAATCAAAGTGAAACTTACTAAACATTTTGTACCAGCTGGAGGGTCCACTGTCAAGAAGGAGAGACAGAAGGTATGTCATACCAAAGATGAGGACAGCGAGGAGAGAAAGGACCACAAACGTTTCATAAGCTCTTGAAAGCAATCCCTGGCAGAATAAAAGCAGAAAAAAAAAAACACAATAATTTTATACAGGCACACACACAAATGAAAATGAGTCTTCATTACCTTGCGGGATCCATAGAAGCCTTCAGCTTCAGTGAAGAGATAGGCAAAAGGAAGTAAAACAAAGAGTGACAGATTGGAGAAGAGAAACACCAAATTCCAAAGTCCTGAAAGGAAAGTGACAAAATTTAATGAGATTTTGAAGCTGGACTTTGGTGAGCATGAAAGGAGAATTTTGTCTAACCATGGATGAGATCACTGTTGAGCCACTGAATGTAATAGCTGTCAGGATAAAGGAGAAGGATCTCATTGCTGATGATTGAAATGGGAGTGAGGAGTGCAGCTCCTGCTGATGTTGCAAGACTGAATGTGCACAACCAGAGCCTGAAAGATACCAGAACATACATCATAATGAGCATTGCAGTCCATCAAAAACAGTCAATCAATGAAAAATGTTTAAAACTTTCTTACGCAATTCTGTACACAGTTGCTTCTTCCTCATCTCCTTGTAAGTATTCATCCCTTTCTTTGCGGCGAAATCGATTGATGATAGCATAGCTGCTTACATTCAACAGCAGAAAGAGAAGGAGAAAAATCTGAAATCAAGAATATTCAATGAAAGATGGACACAATTTAACATTAACTTCTTCCGTCTATTGATCCAAAGACTGGAATAAGAAGTCAACTCACAATGTTTTCTCTTACAGCATTGTTGAAAATTTCTTCCTGGACATCAGGATCATCTGAAGGCCTATCCATCAATGATATGTACAAATGTGAATTTTGGTCTCGGCTGCATTCATGAATGCCCGAGGCATGAAGAATTTTCAAAGCCATTGAGAGCTAGGACAACTATCATAGTTGCACCAAACTCATTCAAAGAACTCAAGAAAAGCCTATAAATGGCATCCTGAAATTAGGCATAAGCATCAAGTCTAGGCTAAGCTGAAATTATCCTAGTGAATAGTGATGCCTATGTTGTCATTAAGAAAGTGAAGCAAAAGCTCAATTTAGTAATTCTGCTAAAATAGAAGGATGACATACTACACATGTCCCCTGCACTCCTAGGCTGTTGAAAAATTGAAAACATCTTGAAACTGGCTTTAGGGCTATTTACAGGCAAAAATGCTGACAGACAAGTTTTTATGGTTGAGATGAAGAGGGCCATGATACTGTTCTGGTAGAGTTCAGTTCTGAATGTGTCTATATAAGAATGAGCTGAAGAAGAATCAAGCTGAGCAGGTCAGGGTCATGAGCCATACAGCACCATCTCAAAAATATCTGGGTTGTGCAAAAAGCAATAAGGAGTCTAAGGAACATCCCAAAGATGTCCACTCCATAAAACAGTATTGATTAGTGGGGTTTTCTCATATCCTCTTGAATGTTAGATATCCTTAGAAAGGAAAATGACAACATACTATAATAATAATAATGACTGGAACAAACCAAACTCAATCAAGAGGTAGGATTACTTACTATCTTGAAATGATGGCTAGAAATCAATGCCAGTCTTTAGGGCTCTTAGGATGATCTTGGAGATATGCATGTATATGAGGTTAAGGACAAAGACCATCCTGAAATCTCAAGTAGAGGCTACAGAAACTATTCCTTCATCAAACAGGAGACAAGGTAGAGTTGGAAGGATTGATAAAAGCTGAACTTTCATTATAATGGCATTATGAATGGTTGAAGGGTTATAACCAAACTTTCTGCCACAATAAACTATTTTGAAAGAAATCAGAACAGTGCAGTGAGAAATGTTCACATCAATTTCATTTCATGAAATATAAAAATCTGGCATTAAAAAAAATGTTGCAATCTGGACCATCCCATTTATATACAAGTCATTTGCAAATGCAAAAAAATGCAAGTGATAAAATCTCATGAAATTCGCAGAATAAGTGAGAAAATTTCTTACAATACGGTATTTAGAAGCATTTTCCAATGTTACCAATCCTCTTGCAAAAAAAAACTCCATAATGGGCTGGCATGACTTTTGCACATCCAAGGTTTCATGGAAATTTCATTTCTTGCCATAGAACTAGAGAGTGAGGGCAAAGGTTCCATGAGGCCTAATAACAGACATTACATTAGCATGCAGTCAGGGTGAAAAATATGAATTTCATGAAATCTCTTTCTTCATGTGAAGACCAAACTTTCTGAGACTGTTTACCCAACCAGTAAAAGTTTGCCAACTGCTCCTCAGACAATCATTTCAGACAGAAGAACTATTTCTGGGAGTCTTTCAGGGGGAATGCAGAGACAATTCAAATCTCTCAGTTGTAGCTGCTGAACCTGAAACCTCTCACAATTGCCAGTAGCTCCAATATCTGACCTGATTCTGTCACTTTGCAAATGTTAATGTAGAAAAAGTAACACTCTTAAAATTGCATGAAATAATCTAATTTGGCTACCACGATCTGCAGAAGCTCCTAAGACTTGTTGAAGCACTGGAGATGTGATGGCAAAATTCAGTCTCCTTGACCTTCATTAGAAAACCAGAGCCCTACTTAATAGTCATTAATTTGTTCCAATGGAACCACTAACATGTATGTGGAGCACACTGAACAAGATTTTCCCAGAGAACGAAGGTATTGACCGATGGGGCAGTTTCAGCTCAGTTTTACATAATTTACTTGGTCAAAGAGGGCAGAAAAAACCTTCCATGGGAGTAAGATTGCTAGTAACAAATAACTAAGAGATGGGTGCTAAAGTGATTCACAACTGCACTTGTAGCACTTTTAGCATAGACTTCAAAGGGCTATCACAGCTCTAATGGTAGGCATACCTCACTTCCTTGCATGAACCTAGCCACAACATATACAATTTTTGACGTGGTCAAATTCTTTAAAACTTACTGCACATTGGGAACAGAATAAGTTGCGACAGAAGGTGTTAAGTTAGTAGACAACGGTACGCGACATCTTCACTTACGGCATTTGAAGGTAAAGGCTTGTAATTGTTCACATCATATAATAATAACTTATATACGCTCTATAGTTCACGTACGCATGAACCTGCCATGTTTGAAGCATGGTTGTCATATGTTGTGTAGTAGGTACGGGATTTAGAAGTGAATATGTAAATAAATCCACTGATCAACCTGTATGATAAACCATAAAAGTTGTTGATCAGTGGACCTGTCAGAGAGAGACAAGGAATGTGGCTTCCCATTAGCTCATTCACACGTCCAACTCTGTTCACGAACAAAATTGTTGCACACTGATGCATGATGCCACTACTCTGGTTTTACACGAAAAATGTCTTACCTTGATGGTCCTCCACAGTTGTGATGCTTCTTTGTTTTAAAAATACCTGTCAATAGCATGACGGATTTCGGAGGGCACATGGGCAGTTACCACACAAAAAGGCGTCGAATCATTAGACGGTCTTTATCGTTTGCCATCCTAAAATTATTAGCAACATCTGACAACTGTGCAGCCAAACGTGGTAGGTTAGCAAGGCGTGCGTGTCTTCCACTTCCGCTGCGGCAAACGTTCAGTGATCACGAAGGAATCCTGGCTTCAGTGGGGTAAGAACCGAGTTGTATGCCCTGCTGCTATTCTCAGGGTTTAGGGAGAGCATTCGGAATTCTGACGTTGTATGCATACCTTGACTTACTTTATCCGCACATTCGACTATTGCGTTCACATTGAGCATTCAATGTCATTCGCAGAAGAACGTGTGTAACATAGCCTGACGAGTGGACTAATTTTGTGATAAGCCCGTGCCAGCCACTATCCTGCTATGCAGGATGCATGTTTATGGGAAACCATAGAACCATTTGTCAATTTTATTGGAAGCTAACGTTATTCTGTTCTTGTTTCCATTAAATGGAGCAGTCGAAAAGTCGGATGCCACAACAGCATGCAGATCTCAATGCCACGTCCAACAATTGGACTGAAGTCGGTTGAGTTGTCTCGATCTAATGATGCAGACATTGCCTCAACCCAGTAGTATTCTGAATAACAGGCGTTTCACGCCTATATATATGATGTGTGAAAGTTCAGAAGTCACTGGAGACCCTTGGTGACCCACTGAAAATGGCTTGGCAACCCGATTTTGGGTCATAACCCAAGGCTTGAACCACTGCTCTAGAGGAAGAAGAGCTCTTTAGCGTGAAACCCCTTTATCTCATTTAACACTTAGCATTTGATTGAACATTTTGGTTTTTTCTCTGTGGTTAGCATTGAAATTGGGGATTTACTTACAAGGAAACCTGCTTGCTTGAAGTTTCATTTCCTCATATATGTTTATCCGTACAATCTTTACCATTTATCTGTATGATGTTTTATCTGATGAACAAAGCAAATAGTTTGATCATTCAGCCTTGGAGAAAAACAATTTGTTTGGATCCATCATTCGGATGGTTAAGGATTAAATGAGGTTTCAGAATTTGGGCCTAGTCAGACCAATGAAAGTGCACAAGTGTGAACACCAGAATGATACTGATGCAAGATAGAAGATTGTAAAAGAAAAAGGGCAACAAATGTTGACAGAAAATGAATTTTTCATTAATAGACTTTAAAGGGATATGGGAAAGGTGAGTAGTAAGCATAGAATTGGAAACGGGAATGAGGTAGAGATGCATGTGGCTCCTTGGTGAGGCCAACCCAAGGAGATTAAGGTGGAGTATTGTAGGGTGCTTTTTTTTTTTATATGCCTAATTTGGCATTTGAGCCAGATTGTGAAATTTTTTGCAGGGAAAACCATATGTGCACCCACCTGGTGCTTGACTCATCTGTTCATGAGAAGTAGCTATCACATATCCCTTGTGGGCATCTCTCCTGTGGATTCTGGTGGATGGTGTTCTTTTTAGGTGCAACCACCTCTGCTCACCTTCAGCAGCATTTAGCTTTGTTTGAAACTGAAGGCTTTTACCCTTGAATTCTTGGCTTTTTCATCCAGAGCATCCCCTGTGCCTACCCTCTACTCTAATTGGTTCAAGCACTACTATAAAACCAATATTTAAATGGGAGCCTTGGATATTGGCTTATCAGTGGGCTAGTTGCATCTGATTTTCAAAAATAAATGCAAACAATTTGGAGTTTTTATTGGCATGATGAATTATCAGTAACATCCGTAATATTTATTCTCCACTTAAATACCCTTTATATCATTGGAAATCACTGAGAAATTCAAAATGGAGGATTTCCAGGATAATCCCCTTTGGATACTTTCCCATCTTTCACCATGTTAACTCAAGCTAACCATGAGAAGAACTTCATTATAAATTTTGATTTAATGACTGCTCAAGTTGGACTTGACCCAGTTTAGACATCCCACATCTGGCTTGAGGTTAGACAAGCTTCCAAGTCACTTGGTCAGGGACAGTGTAACCAGTAAAAATTGGAGACAGGCTCCTGAAGTCGAACTTCCCATTCAAGTCTAACCAAATGGAGGCAGTGCTACTGGCCCATGTCTGAGATGTTCAAGCTAACTAGTGCCTTCCTAATTACATCAGACTTTTCCCTATTTTTATAATTTGGAGAATTTCTTTAAATCATTGGGAGTGGCATGGATCTTGGGAGCTTTGCCAGACTTGAAAATTAAGTTTATAATTTTCCTTTTGGAGTTGTTTTCTGATTCAATTCAGGGATACACCCAAAGATTGAATGATGCCTGTCCTTGTCTTATTCTTTTGTAAGAATAGGTGACTGGCACTTGATATTGATCTTTAAAATTATCCTCTGATGCTTGAAAGTTATCTCCTAATCATATTCCATGATCAGGCCCCACTAATTTTAGGATCTTGGCCAATAATGTGCATGACTTGTTTTTCAAATGTTTTTGCCACTCACTTTTATCCTAATATGCTCCATACTTTTGTATTTGTAGGCTTTGAAGTGCTTTGCTACTTTTTTGCTCATTTCACAAAGGGAATGAAATATGGTTCTGACATCTGATGAACCGGGTTCTACTGATGGAGGATCTCATGGGTAAGAACCGAGAAATTTGCGATCATTCTTCCATGTAACTGATCATAGCGGCTTGTATTTTGAATCTCTTTGCAACTTTCTTGTAGGGATGGTGGAGAAAGTGGAAAAGCCCCATCAAAGAAAGCATTGAAGAAGCAAGCCAAAGAGGCAGAAAAAGCTGCAAAGAAAGAAGACAGGAAAGCAAAGCTGGTAAGAAATCTGCTCTATTAATACTTATTCTATTCTTCCTTTCTTTGGTATAATTGTGGTTATTTGACAGTACACTTGTGATAATGTATCTTTTTTTTTCTTATGTCTTCCTAGGAAGTGTCAGAGGGTAAAGATGTTGATGCTGATGATGTGTCTGCTGGCCATTATGGCATTGCTGCATTGAATCAGTCCCAAGAGAGGCCTGACAGGAATCTTGTTCGAGTAGATTCCCTTTCTGCAGATCTGGCTGACAAGAAGGTCTGGGTGAGAGGTAGACTACACACCAGCAGAGCCAAAGGTTTGTTGATTATTGGAGATATTCATTGTAGCCTTAACTGCCTGTAAATGAGATGCATTGAATTTGTAATGTAAGCATATATTTAAACACAACAGAATAAAATGTTTACTGCCTGTTTGTGGAGTAAAGTGCGTGCCTCATGGCTAACTAGGTTGCATATCTGGATGGTTGAAACCTATGACTGGTGTGTTTCCATGTAGATAGGCAACCAGGTGGACCTTATAGCGTTAGCTGGCCACCACCTCCAGGCGGCAAAATATTCCCAATGTTGCATTTAAATATGAACACCCTGTATTTTGCAGAGATTTGCAATGTTAACTCTGTAGTGCATCACTGATACAGCAAGTTTACTTGATCAAGCCAAAGAATTCATTTTCTTTTGATCACTGCAAATTGAGGATGTGGTAGGCTGTCAAATCTGGTAAGTGTGCAGCCCATGGCACAGCTCCAAACCATGAAGTGAATCTATCCCCAGCATTTTCTTACAATTGCAGAACTATGCTGTGACTGCATTAACCTATACAATGTCTGATTCCAAGAAGATGGTGCAACCAGTCATACAGCTTGCATTGTCACAGATTTCTTGCAATGAAATGTTGGAGATAGACTAATTTCACACTTCGGTGCCATTCTGTCACCAGATTTGACAGCCCCTGATTTTTGGGACTACAGCAAGTGCCATGTGTATTGCTCAAAACCTAGGTGTGCTGAGGATCTAAAGAACAGAATTTGAGAAGTCATAGCTTCCATTCATGGGGCACATTAGGAACAGTAATGGACAATGTTTTGGTTCAATGTAGGGATTTTCTTAATGAAAAAGGGGGACATTTGATAAATGTCATTCTAAACATGGAAAAATCCCTATGTAAGTTTTAGTTCAAACTATTAACCTATTTTTGTATTACCATTTCTTGAGTTATTATAAAAATACACATGGGACGCCCAGTATTTGGTTGATGGTAAAAGGAAGTTACATGATTTTATTTATTAAATCTTTGTTGTTATAACTTAATGCAATAAATCTAGTTTGACTAAAATTATTTTCTATGGTCTTTTAAAGCAAGATTCATAATTCTGCTATATTTTTGAATTATAAATTTTTTTCTGAATGGTTTTGTCTTGATAAAACTCTCATCTCATTGATGACAGCAGTGTGACTTGGGAAAAATTTTTAAATTTAATAGTCCTCTTGCTCCTGTGCCATTTTATCAGGCCCACCTGTCTCCTGATATACTGCTGTGAAGTGCTTGCATATGACCTGATCAGCAGCCTTATGCTTTTACTCACTCTTCAATAATTGTTGCAGGTACACTATGCATTTTTCTTTTCTCACAGGGAAGCAATGCTTCTTTGTCCTGAGGCAACAGCATTTTTCAGTCCAATGCTTAGTGGCTGTCTCAGACTCTGTTTCTCGTCAGATCGTCAAATTTGCTGCAAGGTGAGGCCACATGTAGGGATGGGAGACACTTTTTTTTTTCTCCATGTAGTGGAGCATGTCTTGCCATACAATTACTTACTTGACTAAGAACTCTGTGTATTTTACTGTGGAATGATAACTTCTCTGTCTTTTTCAAGTGTGACCAAGGAATCGATCATTGATGTGGAAGGGTATGTGAGGAAAGTGCAGCACAAAATAGAGAGCTGCACTCAAAGTGATATTGAATTACATGTGGAACAGGTGTTTGTGGTGAGTCCAGCAGAGGCTCAGCTTCCCCTGTTGGTAGAAGATGCTGCTCGCCCTGAGAATATTGAGGTTTGTTGTGTTTCTTGTCCTACTTTTCATATTAATTCATATAAATTTGGGCTCAATTAGATTAATTGACCAATTATATAGATTAAAGTATTATAAAATTATAAGGGGAAAATGACATTCAAGGGGAGATTAGGGTGTTGATTAAAATTCAATTAATGTTGACTTTTTTACATTTAAATTAATACTTGATTAATTAGCTTATTAAATTAGTTGGATTGACAGCCCAAATATAAATCCCTAGCTAGATAATGTGAGGATGCCTTCTCCCTTATTTCATAGGACCCTGATGGGCTACAGATCCGAGTGAACCAGGACACAAGGCTGGACAACCGGGTCATTGATCTTAGAACTCCTGCAAATCAGGCCATCTATCGTATTGAAGCTGGGGTCTGTGCTCTCTTTCGAGAGGTCTTATCTGAAAAGGTCAGTCTTTGGTGATGAAACTGTACATTTAAGGCTACAACTGCTGGCAAATGGGAGAAATGTTTTATCATAATAGTAGTGTCGGCTGGGTATTGGGTGTAGCTGTTTAATCAAGCACTTTGGTTGATATACCTCTTGGACTGTTTTGATAAATATGGGGTTTTCATTAAAGGCTGAATGATTTTTAAAATTTTTTATTCAGAGAATAGGTATAATGAAACTTGTTGGTCATAGCCTATGGTCCCAAGTTTTTATCTTGCTAGTTTCATCACATCTGTGTTTCTATATAATGTCCACCATTCTAAAAACATTACTGTATACAATTCTAGCATTTGGGGGCTGCATGGAGTATGTTCAGGCATTTCTTTAAGTGTTTGGGGTAATTCTTCTGTGGAGATGTTCTAGATTTGTAAGATTCACACTGTACTTGAGTGATTTGACATTCTACAGGAAATAATTTAATTGGGGTGAGGTTAGGTTGCCTTAGAGTCCTTGGAATTGGGCTAACTCTTCCAAAATTCAGGGAAATTTGCCAAAAAAATCTTAATCTCCTTGAAAAGAGTGGGTGTGCCTCATGAAAACTTGCTGAAAACTGCATTTTCAATTAAATCCTGCAGTTTAAGTGAGGCCCTGAAAATGGTAAACCACACTATTAGGGCCTAAGAACATTTTAAAGTACAGAATGAGGTGTATTTTGGAGAGAGGCATGGTATAGTTTACATTAGGTGTATTATGCTGTGCAGGTATATCCTGGTTGCTCCAGCCATGCAAACTTTTGCTAAGACCAACTACAATGTCTTTCATGGATTGGCATTAGCAGTAGCCTGATGTGTAATGAATAATGAACATATTTGTATCTGATGGTACAGGTTAATGTGATGTATAGATTTGGTGTTTGTATATGGCTGAAAGTTTGGAGAAAAATCCATATTGATTCACCCCAAGAAAAAGTATTTATATAATTTGGGTTTTTTTTTTTTTCTTAGGGATTTATAGAGATTCATACTCCCAAGATCATTGGAGCTGCAAGTGAAGGAGGTGCTAATGTGTTTGAGGTGTCCTATTTCAAAAGCTCAGCCTATTTGGCTCAGAGTCCCCAGTTCTACAAACAGATGGCCATTGCTGCAGATTTTGAAAAAGTGTTTACTATTGGTGCTGGTAAGCCCTATTTGCTGGCATGTTTTGATCAAGAGGGTGGGCCAAAAAGAAGCTAATACAGGGTGATTAAAAAGTTACACAACCCAAAATAAGTCTTGAGCATTGTATGTCTTGTGAACACCTACCATGTGCCACCATTGTGTCCACCTTGTGCAGGACTGTGTGAGCAACTGCCACTGAGCCTTCCAACTGATGCCATGAGTGCCCCTAAAGTGCAACTTGGTTCTGGAACAAAAGTTTGTGCTGTTTCTTTTGGTAATGGCACAATTTATTTTGGGTTGCCCTGGATCACCCTGTATTTCATTTGATTGTCACATTTATACAAATCAAGGTGCTCTCCTACAATTATGAATGAGCATGAGTAAAAAAAAAAGTTCTTACTGATCGCAATTCATTTCAAGGAAATGCAACCAATAGGTGATGTTTTCAGTGGTGCAAGGTGAAAATTCACTTTGGTTTCAATATTTTTTTTCACATCCATCAAGCTGTGTTGGGTTAGGTTGACAGCAATTGTCAAAGCTGATGAGGATGCAATGGACATTGCTTATTATCATTAAGGATGTTTCCAATTCATGGTGGTGGTTGTGGTTTTCAAAGAGCTCTTCATGAAGAAAAAGTTTTAATGCTTATCCTCACATGTTGTCATAACATTATGCTCTGTTATCATATTTTCATTAAATAAGTAGCATTCTGTTAGAAAAGCACAATGCTATTAATCATTCAAAATCTTGAGTTCAACTTAGTTATTGTAGATGTAGCAATCAAATGAATAAGGGTGAACTTATTTTTAGCCCACTATGTTTATGCTCATTATTTGTGCAAAACTATGATGAATATCACTTTTGAATGAAGCTCCCAAGAGCAGTGTTTCTATCAAGTTTTCGTCACTACCGCTGAGATTTACTTGCACATTTATTTGATGAATCAACTCTTCTCATCCTAAACTCATCTACTAATTCCATGCTGCTTGATCTTTCCCTGCAGTATTCAGAGCAGAAGACAGCAACACACATCGGCATCTGACAGAATTTGTTGGCTTGGATCTGGAGATAGCATTCCAATATCACTATCATGAAGTTATGGATGTCATTGGGAATCTCTTCACTCAGATTTTCCGTGGGCTGCAGGAAAGGTTTGGAATTAGGTCCTTCACTTAAATTGAAGGTGAAGTAACCCTTATGCTCCTAAGAAGTAGGGATATCCTTCAGGTATAAGCAGGAGATAGAAAGCGTCCGGAAGCAGTACCCATCAGAGCCATTTCAGTTTCTGGACCCTCCACTAAGACTGGAATTCCCAGAAGCAGTGGCCATGCTAAGAGAAGCAGGTATTGAGATAGGTGATGAAGAAGACTTCTCCACACCCAATGAAAAATTCTTGGGTCGCCTTGTCAAGGCCAAGGTGGTCACAATTTCTATGTAATGTACCTAGTGTTTTTTTCTTCTTGAGGCTAATTACTTGTATGCTGTTCAATTCCATAGTATGGGACAGATTTTTTCATGCTGGACAAATTCCCTTTGGCTGTGAGACCCTTCTACACAATGCCAGACCCAAAGGATCCCCGATATTCAAATTCATATGACATGTACATGCGAGGGGAAGAGATCCTCTCTGGTGCACAGCGTGTGCATGACCCGACATTGCTTACTGAAAGAGCCAAGCTCCACAACATATGTGAGTTATAATGAATTTTTGAACTCTGGTTGCTGTTATACATGATGATTTTCTTGATTCCCCTGTTGAGTATATGTGAAAAAAAATTGTCCCAAGATGTTCTGAATCTGTTATTGGTAAGGGAGACTCATTGGCAGAATTTTTGAATGTTCAAGGTGGCATTATGTTGGCTTTTATAGGCTTGGAGAAAATTAAGCCATACATCGACTCCTTCCGCTATGGCTGTCCTCCACATGCAGGTGGTGGCATAGGACTTGAGCGAGTCACCATGCTCTTCCTTGGCCTGGACAACATTCGAAAGACCTCTATGTTCCCAAGGGATCCAAAGAGGCTATCACCATGAGCATTTTATGTGTCAATGCCCCTCAAAACTGAAAATTTGTGGCTTGTTTTATGGAATTATCACCTTGGTGTGAGTAAAGAGAACATATTTACACAATTAGGTGTCTTCTCCCAGATTCCGTATTCATCAGCATATGCAATGGAGATGGGTTCTCGTGTTTGAGATACCCTGGGTGGAGCTTTCCCTCTACAAGTTCAGACTTCCTCATTGCTGTTTGTTTATCTTCTGGTTGCTGTATGGATTAGAAATTATCTTTCTCATTTGTACTTTGGGCTTAGTGAATCATGTTGATGCATGTTTTCAATCTAAAGACAGGTGTGAGTACTTCCCATCTTCTGTGATATCAGCATATGCTGGCAAGATGTATAACTTCAAGAAGATCACGGTTGTTCCCTCTGCTATAGTAAGTATCAGTTCCATTTTTCTTTTTGATTGTCTGGAGTTGAGGACATCCAGATCAGGATGGATGCCAAATGTTGGGTAAAAATGACTGAGCAAGGGCCATCTTGACACTCAATTCATATTGCTTAACATTTTGACTGCCCTATGACCTGTGAGCAGGTCATATGCCAAATACAGTCTTATATGCTCTGTATTATTGTGGCTACATTCCATGGCTTTTGTGCTCATACTGTGGCCCACCTAAGACTCCATGCCACCCTGCAAAAAAAAATTCTGACATCCAGTTTGTGCAGTTTGCACAGGAACATCATTTCAATGAAGAGGTGAATGAAATTGGAGAAGCAGTTTAGCCAGTAAGTCTTTTGGCTTTGGGGACAAGTCACTCTACTAAAAATTGAGCTTAAGAGTCCATGTTAATTTTGCTTGAAAATTTTTTTTTTTAATTACTAGATGTATTTATAGCTCCCTTTCAGGAATGAAGGTACATGAAAACATAACTTGAGTTGCTGTTGAAGCTTATATTATCATGACACATGATGCCCACTGACCATGCCAATGCAGTAATCATGCAGTCTGTCATGGAAGGTTAGATTAAGACAGCTGTATCAGTTCACAACTGTTAAGTGTTTCTATGGCCTGGAGGGTTTTCCATTTGGTTTTCCTTTCCCTTGTGGCAACTGAGTCGCATTAAGGACAAAAATGTGAACTTAAAACTGGCTTCCCAGTAACAAAAAATGGCTGCTTCTGGTGATGAGCATTAGTTTTCCTTTAAATACCATTTGCATGATTTATATCACTACAACTCATCCCCCTTTTTTTTTTTATCACCTATCAGGATTTCATCAATATAATGCTGTCAAAGACTCAGCGGAAGACACCGACTATGGTCCACCGTCACTACAAGATTTCTCGCATCAGACAGTTCTACATGCGCAAGGTGCGCTTCACACAGCAGAATTTCCATGATCGTCTCTCTCTCATCATCCAGGAGTTTCCTAAGCTTGAGGTGGGCTGATTATTTCCTTTCAATTCCCCTTCATGATAATTTCCTTTGATTTTCCTTTCATGTGACTGCTTTTTTCATTATTTTACTTGAACAGGATGTTCATCCGTTCTATGCTGACCTTCTCAATGTTCTTTATGATAAAGACCACTATAAGCTGGCATTGGGTCAGATCAATGTTGCACGCCACCTCATTGACAAGTGAGCTATGGACATTTTTCCATCTCATGTTCTTATAGATTTTTTTAGGTATTCTTCATTGATTCTGCTCATTTCTTAGTGTTTCCAAGGACTATGTGAGGCTTCTCAAGTATGGAGACTCACTCTACCGCTGCAAGCAGCTGAAGAAAGCTGCATTAGGAAGGCAAGCAAAACATCCTCCCTCAAATGTAAAATATCCACCGTCCAGGATAAAATCATGAGATTTTTTTCTGTGTGCAGGATGGTGACAATAATCAAGCGTCAGGCAAGCAGCTTACAGTACTTGGAGCATGTAAGGCAGCACCTGTCTCGTCTCCCATCTATTGATCCCAACACTCGAACCATCATCATCTGTGGCTTTCCCAATGTTGGCAAATCCTCTTTCATTAATAAGGTCAGCTTGAGTTTGTTATACCTCTTCCTGATTTTTTTCTGGTTGCAATGATGAGAAAACATCATCTTGAAAATCCTGAGAGATCAAACATATTCCGCCATTTTACCCGACTGAGTGCCGATTTCCCATGATTCTTTAATTGTGCTTTTTTGAAATAACATAAGCCTGTAGAAAAGGTGTTGATGCCCATGTTTCAGATCACACGTGCAGATGTGGAAGTCCAGCCATATGCATTTACCACAAAGTCCCTGTATGTGGGTCATACAGACTACAAGTATTTGCGATGGCAAGTAATTGACACACCAGGTCTTCTGGATCACCCATTGGAGGAACGAAACACCATTGAGATGCAAGCCATAACTGCCTTAGCACACCTGCGGGCATGTGTCCTCTACTTGATTGATCCCTCCTGTCAGTGTGGACACTCTATTGAGGAACAGCTGCGACTCTTTGAAAACATCAAACCTCTTTTCCTGAACAAGGTTTGATGAGATTGTTGTATTTTAGTTGCCTATAATAGAAGTTTAATGTTTGGCTGGATTGTGATGAGTTGTTCTATCGCTGAGCGTACAGCTGTGATAAATGTTATTGAGCTTTTTAACCGGCTGAGTGATCCACTGCATTATTGTACATAGGTCATTTCTAGGATTATGATTGAAGTATTTCTCACATGAAAGTCTGGTGGTATTTTGCAGCCACTCCTGGTAGTTTGCAGTAAAGCAGATGTCATGAGACGGGAAGAACTCTCCCTTGAGCACAAGTCCCTATTTGAGCCCTTGGAGAAAGAAGGGATACCCATCATGGAGATATCCTCCCTCACTGAAGAAGGCATCATGACTGTCAAGCAGCAGGTCTTATAATTGACATTATCATTTATAAGCCATGGTTATATGTAAAAAATAAATTGAACCTCTTCATCTGTTGTGATCTTCAGATGTGAATAATTTTGTTGTTGAATGAAGAGATCTAATGACATTTTGTCTTGCTTGCATCTCCAGGCCTGTGAGATGCTTCTGAATCATCGGGTGGATAACAAGGTCAAGAGCAAGAAGGTGAATGACATCTTAAACCGTCTTCATGTTGCAATGCCTACACTTCGGGATGCCACACCACGCCCTCCATTCATCCCTGGTCAGTTTTTTATTATTTTTACAATGCCAGTCTATTTGAGAAAGGTAGGATCTCAATGAAGTGGACCTCTTGATATAATTTGCTGCATACTTAACAGAAACAGTGATTCACAAGAAGGAAGTCATGGAGACAGAGGGAGGTGAAGGAAAGGGACGGAGGAAGCTGGAGAAGGAGATTGAAGCTGAGTTGGGAGATGATTACTACTTGGATCTGAAGAAGCATTATGATCTCCCTGAGAACTACAAGTATGATGTCATCCCAGAAATCTGGGAAGGACATAATATAGCAGACTTCATTGATCCTTCCCTCATTGAAGTGAGTTTCATTTTTAATATTCTGTTCTGACCTGTAACAACTATAGTCCTGGAACCTTGTGCAGTGGCATCTCTTGCCTGGAGGACTTCCAAAAAGCTGGCAAGAACCTTTCAATTTTATCGACTGAAACTCGTTAATTTTCCCTTCAAAGGAGCAAGGGACCTTGCAAAATTTAGACTTGTTTTAATTTCCTGGGAAATTCTGGTAAAGGAAAGAAGTGGGCCAAGTTGAAATTCTTTGTCATGGCACATTATTATGCCTCAGGTATTTTGACCTAGACCCAAGGGAGAGTATCTTTTCTTGCCTCCCACTTGCCAATCCTGTGAGTGTGTGACTGCATTTTATGTGCATTGTGTCTTCGTGTAGCTGAATCTCTTTTGAAGGCATTCAAGGGTGCAAAATATTCTGACTATAATGGATGGAAACAAGGCTTATTGTCAGCTGTCATTGAACTTGGAACTAATTCTTCAAATAAAGAAGCAGATGCAAGATAAAATGTTTAAGAAAAAAATGAAAGGACAGTGAAGGAAATAAAGTAGATCCAAATTTTTCAGTCAACTCTCCTGATGTAGCGAGAGTAATGCACCTTTTACATACTATAGTTCAGAGAAAATTTACTGCACTTTCCATCAGTATGGCACCATTGGTGCCATCAGCCCAACTGCTGCATGAACAAATTGTCGCCTGACAAAATGTTGCGGACCAAATGTCGCTGCTGAGAAAAAGGTGGTTCTGGTTTTTATACCCATATGGCTGGAGGTTGAACTAGGATAGGCATAGGGAGGAAGTTTCCTTCAGGAAAAAGCTGAGTACCAAGTACATGCTAATAATATTCTTTCAAATTAAGAGATCACATGTAGATATTCACAAATAAGTCCAAAAAGGGGAAATCACATGACAGATTCAAGTTCAATCACAGGACATTAATGTGGACAACGCATCTAACATCAAACAAGAATTGTACAACATCCTGATTAGCAAAGTCAGCTACCATTATGCTGAGAGCCTCATTTATTCGTTGATACTTTTTCCTTTTCTTCGGAGGTGGAGATGAGTGGGTCACTGGCACCAGTCAATAGGCATGAAATCATAATCATCTCAGCAGTCAAATGTGATCATCAATACAACTGTAGTTATATCAATTCCCTCATGATAAATATCCTTTAATTGATTTTGCAAAAAGTTTCTCAATGGTAAAATCCTTAATTCACACTATCAGCATCTACAGTGACACTCATCTGACAGGCATCATTACCCTTTCAGCCTGACAGTCAACTGCATGTAAAAGCATTGAAGATGCAGACTAAACAAGGTTATTAACATTCCTCAAGTAGGGACATACCAAATCCTGAACAGTTTGATTCATCATGTTTCCTTCGCACAATGATGATCTGAGAGCAAGATTTCTTCACTTTGCTTTACCATTTTTTGCCAGAAATAATTTTTCAATTGATCATTGCTATATGGGGGTTATCAAAAAGTTCTAAGCCTGAGGCACTTCCAGTTGCAGCACACCATTCTTACTCTTACGAGAAAACTGTTGGGCAAAATTTCAGCATTTAATTTTAAATAAATTTGAATGAAATTTAAAATCAAAGGTAAATTATGAATTTTTTCAATATGCTATTAAAAGGCCTGCTTAAGAGGTGTACAAATTGAGACAAATGCTGTGATTAATTTTCTAACCTCTGCAGAGGTTAGAAACCTAGAGACCTCCCTACAGATCTTCCATGGAAGTATCAGTAAGACACTATCTTCTCAGCTGCTAAAAGATCATCTGGGAGATCAACTCCCTAGAGGTTCATCATGACATTTGTCTCAACATTAATATTCCTTCACCAGACCCTTTGGTTGCTCATAAAAAATTCATGGAATCTATCTTAAATTGACAAATATGATGAAATTTTGCCAGTCACCATTAGAGACATGGTTCTCATGAGAAGAGTATGAAAGATGTATTGCAACTGGAAGTGCTTCAGGCTTAAAACTTTTTCATCACCCCACATATATTCTTTGCAAACTTCATGCTGTATAGGAGCCTACTGCAGAAATTTAAAATTCATATTGGACTCTTAATTTCTTTCAGTTTTAATTGGAAATTATGCATACGATAGTAATTAGGTTTGTGACTGCAAACTTTTCAACGTGATCCTGAATTTTAAAAAAAGAAGACTTTTCTCTGATAACCTAGAAACTGCAAGCATTGGAGAAAGAAGAGCAGCAGCGCTTCAAGGCTGGGATGTATGATGTGGATATCACAGAGGAAGACGAGGAAACTAAGAAATTCCGAGAAATGGCTAACAAGATACGAGAAAAGAAGAAGCTCATGGCTGTGAGTTGTTTTATCACTCAGTATTTGGGAGTTGTCATCTTGGATTTGGTTGCAGTGATGTTTTTTTTTTTTCAGATTGAGTCTAGATTGAAGAAGAGTAGTACCAAGGCTTCTCTCCCAAGGAAAGGCAGGAAGAGGGAAAGAAGTCTGAGTCGTCTAAGAGACGAGATGGGAAAACTTGGTGTAGAGTTGGATGTGAATGAGGAAGTGAGTTTAGCCTGCTTCTTTACTTTCCATAGCAGCATGATGACCTTCCTCCTTTCCTGCTGATCCTCATGACTGCATATATCTGATGCCTTCTTTAAAAGCAAAATAGATATACCTGGTGGTCCAAAAAAAAAAAAAGTTCCAAACTTTACACTGACACATCATACTAAGTATTGATAGGAAAACACTCACACTCATGTATATTGTTGAATGAAAATTTAAATGAAGTTTGTCATTCAGAATCTTTGTAAAGGCTACTTCCCCAGGCAAAGTGAATTCAGGGCATTTCCAATAGAAGTCTACTGACCTTGAGAATAGGTGCTCGATGAATCCTCCTTTCTGGTCCATAACTACTTGCAAGCACTGGTTCCATTGGTCGATTGACTTTCTATTTGAGTCATTATATGCAAGAGGCCACACTTCTCATTCCTAGCTTTGAGTTCTGTCAGTGTTGAAAATGGCATGCAGCATCTAGCATAAACAAGCTCCTTCACATTGTGCCAAACATGTTCAGGAGTATTTGAAAAATAACACTTTTGACTTCATCCGAGAATATCTGTGGCCTACCCAATTCTCCTGACTTAAAACCTCCTTGACTATGAAATGCGAAATAAGTTATTACATAGACTACTGGTATAAAGAAAAGTGTCAAAAGCTCGTGAGATGGGTATGACAGTGGCAAGGTGTGTAGTTGGTGACAACTTTTCTGACAGAGCTATATTGGGTATCAGCTGGTCTCTCCTTTACACAATGCCATTTTCGCTCTTTTTCGCATTTTATTTATATGCCAAACGGAGTCTTACTAAAAGCACCAAGAAAAGGACCGATTTGAAACCCTGTAAAGCGCCCTAAATGCATCGGCTATTTGTGCTTATCGATAAGGACAAGGTTCTCGTGATGTAGACGACATGCATTTGTTGCAGAGTCACATGCGGAGAGCTGCAAGATCCCGCACGCGCTCTCCATTGAAGAAGATGGCTCGCCTTGAATCTGCTTCGAGATCGAGATCGCGTTCAGCCTCGGTTGTACCTCGAGACAAGTCTGGCGTTCGAGATGAAATCGTGAGTTGTCTGCTACTGGGAATATGTCACATTTCGACTTTGTTGTTGAAATCATCTTGCTGTTTTTATTGTGCAGATGGAGAAAAAGGTGAAAAAGATAGGACGAAAGTCACAGGTGAAGAAGGCATGGCAGGCAAAGAAGGGAGAAGGAGATCGCGTTATCCTCAATCTGAAACCCAAGCATCTCTTCTCTGGCAAGCGGAAAATTGGCAAGACCGACAGGAGATGATCGCTATCAGATCTTTTCAAGACCCGCACATTGGGTTGCCTCGTTTCAGTTATGTTGAATTGAGAGAATGTATTTGATCATCGGTGTACGTTATTTCTTTGAAATAAAATAAAAATTATGACGACGTGCTTCCTCCTGTTATTTATCCATTATATACGTGAAATATTAGCCTGCAGGAGATGTAGATTTATGGTTTTAAAGGAAAAGAGCCGGCCCACGCATCTGGGGTAGAAAAAAGTGCCGTGAACAGTAGGGGCTGAGAGGTTTGAATCCGACCGGCAAAGGCGCAGACAGCGAAGGACAAGTTTCCATTTAGCGTTCCTGCCCTTCCCTCATTCGGCCACCGTTCTTGGCCCATTCAACCAGTGTGAATAATGTCCGATTTTGCGTTCCTCAGGTCAGAGCCCCCAATGGTAAAAACGTTTAAGCATCACCAGTGGCGTAACTAGGTAATTTGCCGCCCGGGGCGTGCGACTGTTACTGCCGCCCCATATTCCTGTGCCCCCCCTTGCTAATTGCTATTTTCTCGTGCACACACGTTTTACTGGAGAATGAGATTAATTAAATATTTGTTATTCAGGACTGATTCTCAGCACAAATAATGTAATCAAAATCAATTCTTACAAACGACTGCAATCAAAATTCAGCCCTTCTTGATTTACTGGCTGCAAAATCTTTAATAACTTCGTTGAAATCAATGGAAGAGGCAACTTGATGTTCGATTGACAGGATAGCAAGATTTGTAAGTCTTTCTTGAGACATTGTAGGCTGCAGGTACGACTTAATCAGCTTCATTTTGCTGAAAGAGCGTTCACATGATGCAACTGAAACTGGCAAGGTCAACAGAATCTGAAGTGTTGTGGCCAATGTTTTGGCCAATGGCCAATGGCCTCCAATCCCATTGATGAAATGTATATGAGCAGCCCCTGTGGAGAGTAGTCCAGTTTTGCTCCCCTTTGAGAGAAGCAATGATATATTTATAGTCTTCATACAGTTCAGATCCGTTCAAGTCATTTGGATAAAGAAGCGCCAGATCAACACACTTCTTACGGAGCTCGGTAAGCTGCTCATCAGTTTCACAGTGTTCAACTAATTGACAAAAGATTCAGTTGAGCAGAGAAAACCAAACCGATTCTGTAATTCTAGCAACTGTGAAAATCGATTTGAGATTTCAACTCCAATTTTTTCCAAAATTTCCCTAAGGCAACGGCGCATTTCTTCCTGAGTGCTCAATCCAGCATCAGAAGCACTTCCACCAGGCATGGAGCGTTTTTTTTTCTTCATACGTCTGTCCCCTGAAACACCCCATTCATTGCACATATCTTCAGGTTCAGAAATGGCTGTAGTACATAGCTCATTTTTCCAGACTTCAATTTTGCCAAAGTTCCCAGTTTAATCAAAGCTTGATTGAAAGTCATCTTATTAGCCTGAAGACATTTCTGAATTCGGTCAACAGCAGGGAGCACCTCTGACCAGAAACACAGTAGAGCTGCAAATTCGAACTTTTGGACACCGATGAGAATCAGACCAGCATCACCACGTGAATCGATCGTTTCAGAGGGAGAATCCCGTAGTTGTTCAAGTGCTGCTATTACGTTGTCAAGTTGACTGGGAATGGCCGTCACTGCAGCTGCTTTTGAGCTCCATCTCGTGTCAGAATGGCTCTTGACAGTAATGTTGACAAACTCAGAACATCCCTTCGATGAGTTGAAGACGAAAAATACACAAATAGACGTTCTAGGGTTCCAAAGAAAGTAACAGCCTGAACATTCACATGTGCTGCATGAACACCGACCAGATTTAGAGAGTGATTGTTGCAAGGTACAAAAACAGCCAATGGATTCAGATCTAAAATCCGTTTTTGAACACCAGAATGACCAGTCATTGTAGCTTGATTATCATATGACTGACCTCTGCAGTCTTGATTAAATCCAATCCATCCTGTTCCAGTTTCTTTGTTATTTCAGCTGTGATTGCCTCCCCTGTTTTTTCCATGAAATGGAATAAAGTCAATAAAAGCTTCCTTGATTTGTACAGAGCCACGCTCACTCTCAACAAATCTCACAATTTGCGACATATGTTCTGCATGCGAATTGCCAAGAGTTGTATCAAATATGATACTGAAATACTTCTCTTTCTGAATTGTCAGAACTGGCGCACTTTTGCTCCCAATATGTTGATCAGTTCATTCTGTATAGCTGGCGACAAATATGACAAAGAATTGGGCTTTGCAGAAACTGAACCCAAGTGTTCTCTCATGAATGGATCAGATTTTGCCAAGAACTTCATCAATGCCAGAAAATTTCCAGGATTTTCATCACTGTCTAGGGACTCACGGTGACCTCGAAATGCCAAGTTCTGCTGGGCAAGCGTCTGAACTGCTGCAGTAATACGCTCAAGAATCTATTTTCACTTCTGAGCAGCCTTGGCAATTTTCGACTGAACGTGGTCATCAATAAGCCCGCCCTTTTTCAATCCACGTCCTAACTTCTTCCACATTAAAAATGCTGAGCAATGTGCAGGGCTGCTTTCATGATTCTGGATGCGTGAGTTTAGTTTCTGCCACTTTAAAACCCTCTTTCATGATCAAAACTGCTTTGCTGACTAGAAGGACTATCGCGATTGAACAAACTACAACAGAAGCAAAAAAGTGTTTTTTTTTTTTCTTGGGAGAGTAGCACATCCATGTATGCTGCACCTTCTCACCATTTTGCAGCGTGTTTTCAAACCACTTTTTAGACAAAGATCATCCACTTTTTTCATCTGTCGGAAATGTACTATCCCTATTCTGCAATTCGTCAGTTCCTCTTTTTACCATAAGATCTCGAAAAGAACCAGAAAGCCGAATTGGCCAAGCTCCCATGTCTTGAAACGCTGCACTATCTACAATTTCATCACTGACATTGACAAGCACTTGTTCCTCTGCAGCTAGGGCTTTGCTGATTTCTCCCTTGCTGGCTACTTTGCTGCTGTCATTGCTTGTATTTTCAGATAATACGCCTTCTTGACATACTTCTGTTTCCTGCAAATTCGACTGAACTGTTGCAGTTCATCGTGCTCATTGTCAGCAGTTGTCAAATCACTTGAATGCTCCAGTAATTGTGGCGAATTGTGGTCATTTTCTAGGTTACCAGAATGACTAGTAACTTCCAGTTTATTGTTTGAATTTTCTGGAACAATAGATTCCTTACCTTAATTTTCAGAAACTGGTGAGTCAGAATCTTACCCTGCTTTCACAAAAGCTTCCATAAAATTTTTGGAACTCGCCGCAGCTCTTGTTCGTTTCGCTGCCAGTTTTCTAAATTGGGTGCCACTTGGTTTCTGTCGCTTCATTTTTGATTATATGGGTGCCTGGGCGGCAAATAGCAAAGCACCCAAATTGAAGAATACAAAACGCAAACTAGCTGATGAACACAAATTCTTGAACGATTGAATGACTCAATCACGGATTGACGGGCTGAACGTTATAAGTATTCCGGGATTTCGTCACACTGGTGTTCACTGCTGCAAGGTGTGAGCCTGTGGTATAAACCGTTACTAGGGTACTGGATGTATCGATTTTCAACCCCGCCTTTTTTCACAGAAGGGTTAGGATTCGTGTTGGAACTTGACAGAGTAAAGTGACTCTGCCGTCTCTCAGCATATGTCGCTAGCAGAGTGGTTTAGACGTTTAATATCAGTCATAACTCGCTCGCAAAGGAAGTGATTATACCCCTAGCACTACTAACAGAGCTATTAGCATGCGTCATACCGGATATATATCAATAGTAAAATTGTATTTTTTTTTTACTCCAGAAATGCTATTTGCGTCAGTTTTGCCGCCATCTGAACTGAGGGCGGCAAACGGGAAAAAAATCGCAAAATCGCCAAAATGGGCATTTTGCCAGTGGGCGGCAAAATGGGCAAAATGAAAAAAATTTCCGAAATTTTGCTTCTTTGAAATAACATTTTTTTTTAAAGCTATTTTGCCGCCCTCTGGACTGTGGCGCCCGGGGCGACCGCCCCACTTGTCCCACCCTAGTTACGCCAATGGGCATCACTGCCATGTAGGATGGAGTGAGGTTAGGAGTTATGCCTGAAAAGCCCAGGGGCAAATTTTTTTCTGCTGAAAACGACGAATGTGCAAAAAAAGGTGCGTTTTAAATTTATTGTCGAGACATACTTATTGGCCTCTATGAACGCGCAGATTTTCAGGGCGAAAAAATATCAGTATGTTACACTAAACTTTTACCCTGAGTGGCAAGTGGACTAAACCGAAGTGGCAAGTGAAGATGCCAATTTCCGTTTCGTCGTTATTTCAACTGGTAGATGGATCCAAATTGTAAATAACTAAATTGTAATGCCCAAGAAGAGCTCTGAACTATTTGAAGAAAAAAAAAAGAGGCCCTGACTGACTCGATTGCAAACAGCAGCACGGTAGTTAGCTACGTTTTAAGGACTTTTTGTGGTCAAGGTATGACACATTATAGACCATCCACCATTTCCAGCACACCATTGGCTTCTGCTATTCTACAGTGGGCCAAGAAAAGGTTCCACCTTTTTCATTCCGCTGTTACATTTTCGTTAATTGGGTTAGGTGCCTGCAATTTGTCATTGCTTAGAATGGCTAAATTACGCGCTCTATTTTGTGAGAATCGGTTCAGAAGTTTTTGCATGGTGACGATTTGACGCCGAGAGGTGAAACACCGCCGCTGCGCGAACCAGGATTCCCTCCTCGCGTCAGTACGCGTGTACGTGGCGGCCAGCGTTTTTCAATCTCCTGCGTCCCTGTCGTGGATTTTCTTTCTCGTAACTTTGCGATTCTTCCTCAGTGTGCTGCGTGACGTCTAACGTGCATGATCGTTCGGTCGCCTATCCTTTCCGTACGAAAAGGTTAAAAATGCATCGATGGGGAAGTTACAAGCAGGTATAATTCCCTTTTGGCTTAAGCACCAAAAAAAGTGTTCTCTTCGGAAGTGACCCAATATCACAGCACAATTCAAGAACCTGCTGCTCACAATCACTTGCCACTCAGGGTAAGTTGACCCTAATGCCGAAGGTGAAAGAAAAAGAAGCGGCCCAGCAAACATTCTAACATTCAATCAGCGTTGCATGAACGTTAATTTTGAACCTTCCCAGTGTTTGGTTGGCGTTGCAGCTAACATTAATTCACTATTGCAATGTCGCTTATCGGAACACTCAGATGAACGTTAAGCCAACATTGCAATGTCACTTATTTGAACCCTCACTCTCACCCTTTTGGCATTCAATATTTGGTCAATAACGAAGGCAATGGAGAAGGTCCATTTTTTATTACACTATTTCGGGCGACTGTCGATATTTATTCAGACAACTTAGGTTCATGAAACTTTCGGAAAACAAATTTTGTGGTGTTTCCAACGTAATATGAAAATATCACGAAACTAGATCATCCACAACGGATTTAAAAGGCGTCAAACACGACGCGTTCTTTTGCGCCACCCGGTATATGCCAGTTATTTTTTCCTTTCGTCGTCATTGCCAGCCTGATTTTAGCAACATCAAAGAAATGGAGATTCTTCTTTTCCCCTCAATAGGTCCCCTCTGATTTTTTCCTTTATGCAGTGCTTTTCATAACACATCGGTCGGAATCGTTTTCCTTATCCATTTCGTGCATGATGTCCACTGTAGTGGACAACAGTGTTTTTGCTATGAAGATGGCTTTTCACCCACGATACACATACAGTACCTCGAAACTTTGGTGCTTGTAGTTCACTCCAGGGCACATAATCTATTCTGTGTTGCCTTCTAGCGGTGGAACATGCGACTACTATGGCAGAGTACCTCCTTTCACGTTAAACCAAACTATATTGGATATAAAGGAATTCCAATGACTTCTCTCACGTGTTTTCTTTGGGGAAAAACTAAGTACTCCAATGCAAATTGCTAGAGAATTTTCCAATGGCGTCAGGGAGTGACTGGCTATCTGAGCGATTTAACCCCTTGCTTCCTAATATCGAGCCTGATTCGTGGCCGTGGCGAAGTGCCGAACACCTGCATCACGAGTCAGACTCGTTCGTCATTTCCAACTCTTCTCAGCTCTACAGTTTCGACTGGCAATAGAGTTACGTTCTGCGGAGATTCAGTGAACTATCGCTTGTTTTTATATATCGTTTGGTTGCTTCTCTAGTCGATGGCATTGCCGTGATACTAATACTTATTTCGAAGTCTTTGTGCATTACAAATACATTCTTTGGAAATTCAGTGACCTCTCGCTTGTTTTTATGCATTGATACAAGCCTTCTTTTATTTTAAAATATGAACAATAAAAGATATATGTTCCAAGTACCCCAGAAAAATGGTGCGCAGGAAAAGAAAGCATATGGTGGAAACCCAAGTAGAGGAACACTTATGCAATAGTAATGACGGAAGTGTGGATGAAAGTGAGTACTCCAGTGAAGAAGTAAATAGTGGTTGCGAAATTTATTCAGATAGTAGTGATTCCAATAGTGATGATGATTATTCAGATGCAATACTTTTCTGTGCATAAATAAGCAACTCCTGTGTAATATAATCTGCAAAAAGTCGTGAAGAAAGAGTGTCTGGAAACTAAAATGTTATAAACAGTGTATTTTACTACTGTCAAATGATATAATGGTTACCAATTTAATATTTATTTGTATAACTGACTTTCCATTGAGTAGAGCATATAGTGTCTTTACCCTGAAAGTTTCATGTCTCTAGCTTGTATAGTTTAGTTTGAAAATGACTATAGTTAACACAGCAAGAACTAGGCAGTTCCGGTCATTTTAAATATGGCTGCCATGTCATGCGGATGGCCATTTAAATAAGGACTGAAGGGGTTAAGCATAATCTCGCTTTGGTTGTTGTAACCTTGTTTGAGTAACAGCCAGATGGCATGAGTAATGAAGTAAACATCTAATCAATATAATTTCCATGTCAACATAAATCCAGTACAGGAAACATTAAGACTCTACTTTAAACCAATATTGAACACAGGAACATAAAGCTCCATTGACTCTCATCCATGAAAAATTTGTGGATATGCTGCTGTGCCAAATATGTGCTGCTATTGTTGATTATACAAAGAGTGACTCATAGTAAGAACTCGACATGAATTTTATCATTCTGAAGAATCCCAATCCATTGTATATCCCACTAAGTGAAAGAAGAATCAGGCAAATTTAAAAGAGCAAGTCATGAGTTTGGAATAGGGAGAACCAGAAGATCCTGTGCAACTATGACATCACACTTGAATGATGGATCCACCAAAGCTGCTTCTGCTTCCCTTCTCAGCAATGCTACATCTGTCTGCAACAAGAGTTAATATTTTATTACTTTCATTTATACACACCAGTTCATATGTTCCCACTTTCACTGCCCAAGTAAAATTTAATTTTGTCATTCAACAACAATAATAAAATCATGTTCAGCATGAAAGTAGAAGTTCAAACTTGGGGAAAAAGAAGTGGAGTGGCCACTCTTCTCTGAAATTTGGTGATTATCACAGAGGGGTGCTTAAATGTTTGAGTAAATCAACAAATACTATATGTCAAATATAAAACAATTTTCTATTTCCATTTTGAACAATTACTTTCAGGGGCTACTTCCATTTTTATTCAAAATAGAGATAGTCCCTGAAAGTAATTCACAAATTGAATTATTTTGCAAGAAGATATGTATTACATCTTCTTAAAAAACCCACTGTACTTCAAAGATGAAACCAAACATTTGTATTTAATTTGATATTCAACCATGGATTTGACAATGAATAACCTCTTAACAGCAATGAATCTGTCAGCTATGAAGGCTGCAAGGGAACTGGCAGCCCTGGTCCTGGGATTAGAATGTGCTATGACTTATTTATTAATTTAATTAGAATTTAACCAATAAGTATACAATCTGGATAGGATTCCCTTTACCTGTCACCTGATTGTAAAAATCAAGTAAATTGGTAAGATGCCTCCAAAAGAAACGTTTCCTGGATTCCCAGATTCCTGGATGAGCAGGTTTCCCCTGAAGAATTCTATGGTATATCTTAGAATGCTTTTCATGATCTTCCTTTGAATGCTTGTGAGACTCACCAGTCTGCTATTCTCTGGATTCCTTTTGCCCCTCCCTCACAGATTGGAACAACATTCACTACTTTCCAATTTGTAAGCATTTCCCCACACAAAATGCTTCTTTCAAATATGATTCTTAATGGTTCTGCCACTTCCTCCTTCAGGTGCTTGATGACACAACCAGGGATTCCATTCAGGCTAGTTGCCTTTCCCAACATTAGCTTGCCTGGCCCTGCTTGGCTCTTCCTCAGTGATGGTGATATCCTTGATAAACACATTAGTGACCTGGTTCACTAGATGGTAAGGTATAGAAATATATGAAGGAGAAAGTATGATTATCATTTGCAATTTCTGATTATATTTTCTGAGTCCATAAACTTTCTGAGTGGCACTTTCATTAAATTCCTTGACAATCAATTTGCAAGCAGTATGACTTCTTAACAATGACCACAATTATCTGAGGAGGCAAAATAAACTCTCATGTGCCTCTGGTATTTTCACATCAATTAAAAGCAAAAGCAGACATGAATGACAACATTCAAGTCAAAGGAAAGAGAATGAACCCACTTCATCCATAAGGGACTGTTGAAGTGAGTCATGGTACCGCTGGCTAAAATGGGTAAGGACAAGAAGCTTTGCATGGACAGAGGAGGCAAAGCTGGCTGCCATCCTAGGGCTGGAATGCCCATTCTCCTTGGCCTTCTCTTCCATTGCATTCTCGAGTGTAGCTTCATGTACAAGAACATTGCATCCCTCTGCCAATTTCAGCATGGCTGAGGATTCACATGTGTCTCCCAGGATCACCAACTTTCTTCCTTGCTTCTTAGTTCCCATGATGTCTTCTGGGTGAATCTGTAAACATTATTCCTCAAAGCATTCCATCATGATATTTGGCCTAGTAAAGAAAGCAATTGGTGCAATTGACTCTTCCTCCAATTATGTTTTTTTTTTTTCACAAGTTCATGAGCATCATATCAGTACACTAATAGATAATAATACCCCTGACATCTCAATAAACTTATAAGTGTATTGGGGTTCCCATACAAACTGATGAACACTAACAATACTAAATACACCCTCAGATTCTTTCTATGAAATATATTCTTGATTCTGTCCACTCATGACTCAATCTTCCTTTTATACATAAACTCCTTATAATAAAAGAGGCCTTTTCATTATAAGCTAGGGGCTGCCAAATTTTGAGCCATTGAAGCAATAAATGTGAACCCATGCTCCCAGGCCATGCATAGAGTAATGCACAGTTTTACCATAATCTCATCATCAGAATGGAATTAACTACTACATTAGAAATGCAGCCAATGATCAAACTCAGAGTGAAATTAAAAACATAATTTTAGTCATTAGAACATAGTGGAACAACAATTTAATCATAAAAGTGCAAAAGAAGATTGGCAACATCCCAGGAGTCTTGACAAGTGAAAAAGAGTCTTGAAAAATGAAAGGCAGAAAAAATCTATCTATCCTACAGTGGGGAAGATAGGTAACAATCATTGAAATAGTGTAACTGCAATAACTTTTTAAACTCCACATGGTAACATTCTAATGAATATAAAATAACAGAAACTGGGAAAAACAGGTAAGTTTGATGTTTGACTTCACTAACCCTGCTGTTCTTATGCATCCAGAACCTAAAATGATCTACTGTACAGTAGTCTGCATGTGAAACTTGCAAGTTCTGGAAACACATATGTCCCTCTTGAGAGCCTGTGCAACATGTTCATTACCCATTCAAAACCTCCATGATCATAAGAATAATTTACAACACCTTCTTAGTCAAGTATGGGAAGTGTAAAAAAAAAAAAGAAAAAAAGATCTAATTATTTTCTATGCAAAATCTATCACAATAAATTGGAGCTTTAAATGAGTTACATATAAGTTCCATTCAAAAGCAGTTTGATTTCGGAGAACACTTGAACATAAAACAGCAACTGCTTTTACATCTGAGAATATCTTGAAGTCTCAAGATGAAGTTGGAATGAGTTGTTGAAGAAAGAGAGTTGACAAAGGATTGGTCAACTTGCTTTGTCTCAACTTTTTGAGTACCCTTCAAAACAGTGTGTATGACTCAGTTTAAGAACACATGGAAGATGTTGATTTCATTTCCCATGCTCTGCTTCAAAAGCTTCATATTGTTGGGATTTGGATGGTAAACTCTTTACTTCACTGCAAGTTTAAACAATAAATATTGGGGGAATGAGGGAACCATTCTTGAGAACTCCAACAAGAGAAGAGTTGTTTGCAGAAAGCACTGCCTAAAAGGCTGTGTCACAATCATTGATGCTCCTGCTCTAACTGTTCCACAAATTTTGCAACTTCAACAAGAGATAACTAACTTTCTTGTCCTTAGTAACCAGGATACATAGCCAAAGAACTTCCAAGACCCATTCCCCATATTTTGCTTTAAGCCACCAAGTGATGACACACCTTATTTTAAATTGCATAATGTGCAATTGTGTCAATTGGGATGCTAAGCATCCTCCTCCTTCCTTGACTCCTTGGTTTTACCTCCTTTTTTTTTTTTTTTTTTAGCAATTAATACATTATTGCACATTGCAAAAGATTCATATTTGCCCATTAATAATATATAACATATGAAGAAAAGATACCATGGTGCCATGGGGAGAGACAACAGAGTGACCTTGCTTCAGTTGTCCATAAAGGGGTCCAGGTGGAATCCCAAGTTCTTTAAGTTTCTGAGAATTCAATGTCCCAGGAGAATCTGGTTCTTGGATGCAGTAGCCAAAGCATGCAACTCGATGCCTCAGCCATGATGCCCTCACATTGTAACCACCACTGTCCATGCTTAAAAATAGGGAAAAGAATTTGATCATCGCAAATGAAAGTAGGTAAAAGATAAAAAAATAAATTAGTTACCATTACACTCACACTTCCCAGATGCCATCCTCAGATGGATGGATCAGCCTTGAGATTCCTTCCTGAGGGTGGGGAGGGTCAGAAGACTGAGAATCCATTGGTATTGGAGGCCATTGCACATTGTCCAGCTGGGCTTCAATGGGAACCAACTCATGAACAACAAAGGGAAATGGCAAAGGTGACTGACTCAAGGACAGTATGACTCTGAGGAATTTCTTCAGTCCGAGTGGACCATAGATTTCAAAGAGAAAGTCTTTTGGTTTCTTGGTTGCTTGATTTCCTAATGTACACAGCAGTCCTGGGAGTCCAAACACCTGGCAAATAATAGTTACTCAGATTTTGTGAAAAAATGCCTGCCCAAAACTGCAGCGTTCACTCAAACTTGGTGCCACATAATGGAAATAGCTGCAGTGCCATCAATGATGGTTGGCTAACAACCCCATCTGAGACACTTCACTCATGGAAGCTTCACAATATTAATATGTATAACATTAAATCTTGGGAAAGTCTGGTCCAATTGCAAAGACAAATTTCAATGCAAGAAATCAAAGATCAATGTCTAAAAGTTTTTTCACTTGAGTTTGACACTTTTTCAGATACCTCAGCATGCATCTATGGCACATGCTAAGCATGGATGGTGGAATATAGTGTAAAGCACTGAGAAAAATCCTTGGAGTAACACAAACAGATACTTCTGTAAACATAGGCCAATCAACAAAGCAGGCCTAATTAATTTTTCTTCCTGATGCAGGTTGGATGCAATAACTGGATCAGAATTAAAGAAGTTCTCCTGCTTGATGAAAATTTTAATTCATGAGTCTTAAGTAAGGATAGAGCTACTTGAAGAATAGAGATGTACATACGTGATCACCATGGAGATGAGTAACAAAAATTTTTGTCACTCTCCCTGGCTTGAGAGTACTCTTCTGGATCTGGATTTGAGTCCCTTCTCCACAATCCACCAGCCAAACGTCCCCATCTATGATAAAAGCAATGAGCTTCAATAGAAAAAACTTACAAATCAACAGGATTGAGTCATAAGTTCAGGTATGAGTAGGGAGTGGATTCTTATGCAAATAAATATTTGTCTGCAGCTTCATTGAGGCATGCAACCCAGATAGAACAATGTATTACTCCAAGAGGAAGCAATTGGGGTCATTTGAAAAATGCATTAAAATGTAGTTTTTGGCATATTTAAGAATTTCTACTTATGTATGTATATTTCATCTTATTATGGAAAGAACATTCTTCTGAAGCCTGATTTTACCTCTTAGTTGCAGACCAAGAAGTGCTTATTTTTTTAAATAATATTCCTTTTCATGTATAGTTTGACATACTTCTTGCATATTTCAGGACCCTCTTATACATAAAAATCCACCCTTTTCACATCAGAAACAATACTTGTGAGTCGGATTCCAACACAGGACACTCCACGGGACACAGTAGGGTAGCAAGAGCCTGTGCCAAGGAAAATCAACTCCATCTACCTCCACAGCTCCTTTCATCATGTGAAGACCTACACTAACATTGATGGAAGATAATTTCATCATAAAAAAGAACAAATGAATTGTTGAAGAAAAACTAAACTTTCTTTGTAAGCCAGTGAAGATCCTTCTGATCCACCCTGTTGATTCTACCAGCAAGGGCTTTGGTCAAACTTTGTGTCAGTGAAATGCAATCAGAGAGCTCAATCAAAATGGCTTGAGTTCACCAACTCTTTCATTTCCTATTTATAGTCAATAAAGTCCTATGATGGTATCTCGAAGTGGTTTCCTTGAGATATTGCTTACTGTGATGCCTTATGATGATGATGATCTTGATCCTTCATGGGCATGTTGCTGAGCCCTAGTGATCCTTTAACAAATAGGGGTTCCATGTTGATGATCTGATGAAATGGCAAATGTGCACTTTCCAAGAGATCAAGAACTTAACCTTTTCTGATTGCAAATGAGAAGCAGAATGTTTAAAATTTTGCAACAGAAAGCTGAGAGCCTCAGTTCTCTTACTGAGAGTTGATTATTCTTCAATTATCACTCTCCATCCATAAAATGGTAAATTCTTGCTCATCTATAAATGTTCAAAATTGCATATTCTTTTTTTTTTTTTATAAAACTGTTGACAACACATAAAACAACAAAGAGTAAACAACCCTTGTTGACAAGATGATGAGGTATTTCAAACAAGGTTTGCTTGAAAGATGCAACATATACCTCCAATTTATACCTTCAATTATTTATCAGGGCAGTGTTTTCATCATGCTTGTCTGAATGTGAAAAGCCTGCAAATGCTTTGTTTGTACCAGGAGCTCATTCCAGAATGTGCATTCAGAAAAATTAATTTGGCATGATATGAACTGTTCTCATTCCAGTAATATATGAGGGGCAGTCAATAAGTTCCAGGAACACCTTTGTAACTTAGAGATTCCTTACCTGAGGAAAATGTTAGTAATAGCATTTGAAAGCCCATTCTTTGATGAGCATTTGGTATTAATTACTAATTTTTTTAAACATATCTTTCTTGTAGATATGACAACTGGGAGTGACCCATGTAAAAACCACTGGGAAAATTTACCATTTTCTGACCTTGAGAGTCATGCATACATCAAAGTACGATCACTGCTGAACTGCACAGTCAAGGACATTCATGAAGACCTAATGAAAGTCATGGGTGACGGACAACTTAAGTGTGATGCATAAACAGACAGACAGGACAGGACCATAAATGGTCACTTTCCTTTCAGGTAAGGAGATCCACTAAAAAGAATTAATATTACTACCATGTACTGATATCTACCATTGAAGCCTAAGGCAAATGTTGGGCATTGATCTGACTTCATTGTCATGCTGTGTGGGGAACTATAGTGTGTTTCAAAAAAGACGCTCCATTCTTTTTCAATAGGGAAATGACAATTTTCTTCCTAGGGGTATTATGTCATGTGATGGGCTCTAATAGGAATGTAATGGGCATGTCATCATGGTTGGAAGATGCTGCATGCATAATTGTTTACAGTATCTCCTCTTACCATAAAAAATCGCCAAGGATGGGATTGAATCTCATTGGTCACAACCCATCCAACCTCACCTCTGTCCATCACATCATTTTGTTCTTGACATATTAGTGGATAGTCTTGGTACCTCTTATTGGAATTGTTTTATGGCAATAAATTGGTGGTAAGACATCCTTACCTCTCTGCTTCAGCATGAGACCTGAAACTTGAGTGCATTGAAAAAGAGTGTGAAAAAGAGTGCATTGCAGGAAATTCAGTTAAAGTAAGGGAATAATCCTGACATTATGTTAAAATTACCATAATTTCTGAGGTATTGCTTCTCCCATAAAAATCAAAATCTGACTTTTTCTGAGATTCTAATTTAATCCAAATGACTATTCCTTTAAAATGGTAAAATCAGAATTTAACAAATTAATTTCCATGCATTTTTTATCAAAATGATGAATTAGGATAATTAAGATACTGGTCAGGATCAGTCTTTGGAAAGCTAAACCTAACTCAAATTGAACCTTCCTAATTTTTAACTGAATGAAATACTTTGAATTTAAAATCAAAATCAATTCTTTTTTTCTTAGAGCTCTGTTGCAGTAAAAGAAAAGTAACCATAAAGGAGTGTGTTCTTGAATTCTGTGTTCCTAGACCTGTAGGCTGAGCAGGTATGCTGGAGGAATCAGGAAGAGACAGGTGCAGTGATCCAAAAGTTCAGATTTAGTGATGGCTCTGCAATGTTCAATGCATGCTCAATCCAGCATCTGAAGGGAAGAATAGGGTGGAGAAAGATTTGAATGTTTGTACCCTCACATCAGAATCTCAAGTAAAATGTGTATTATTCTAACAGAGTTGAAGCAATCCTTATTCTTTGGAGTGAATCTGACACCAAAAGGCAAATCCCACATTTTACTGATGACTCAGCCTACATTAAACTGCTTGACAGAAAAAGCCTTCTCTACTTCATTCTCAAGATGTTCTACCTCTTAGAAAATAGGCAGGAGCCAAAATAAAGACTGGTCTGATTTTTTTTCCCTATGGGAATGAGGTTATCTATCCCCCATGGAAAATGAGTGGAGCGTCTTTTGAAACACCCTATATTTAGAGTTGTCTTGAGGAAGCAATGGAAAAGTGAGCAGGACGAAGAGTCCATTATCCTTGACTATAGTGAAAGAAAGCCACTATTCCTAAAGGATTTCCATGTCCCTGATCTGCATAACTTAAAAATCAGGTTTGGATGGTTTGTCATTTTCTCCCACAACATGCAAAGCAGAGATGTATATTGGTTCATACATCGCTGGAAGTATGAATTTGGTTCTTCTATAAAGTTAAAATATAGAGTATTATTACTCTGGCATAATAATTACGTGAAGAATAACCACCTGTTGCTTTTCATGAGCAAATAAATCTAGTCAATTCAAAGTTTGAACAAGGAAATGATCATGTTTCATGAAGGAAAACAGTACATCATGAAAAATCTGGGGGAAAAAACTGTTTCCTGCACTGGCAAAGTCAGACATCATCAAGTACATGTCCATTAGATTATTGTCTCTCTCTCTCAAATGCAGTAGCACTTTCTTTGCTGTCACGTTCTCTTTTTCTATGCTCTTTGTCCTTCTTCCGTTCCTTCTCTTTTTCTTTATCTTTGTCCTTATCCTTATCCTTATCCTTGTCCTTGTCTGTCTTTTTCTTTCTTTTCTTCCCCTGCTCTTCTTCTCCAGGGCTCTTGCTCCCCTTGTCTTGTTTTCTTCTCTTTGAGTCTCGACCAGAGTCTGATGGGGAAGATGTAGACTCCTTATCTACTGACTGATGGCTTCCTCCACGACTTCGTCTTCCTGCCACTTCTTCACGGTGGCTTCGAAGTGCTGCTGTCGCCACAGATAAAGCCTGAGGCACCTTTTCCTTCTCTCTTTCTTTCTCCTTCTCCTTGTCTTTGTCTTTTGAAGATTTCTTGGATTCTCCATCTGCTGCTGAGCTGCTACCACCATCTTTCTTGCTGCTTTTCACTTTTCTCACTTTCTCATCTTCCCCAGATGTCTGCTCTGTTGGGACTTCACCCTTTGGAGTCTTGGCTTTCTTGCTTGGCGGCTCATCTTTCTTGCCCTGGTTGATGGCCTGTGTGACAGGTGGAGCAAGAGCTGGGGTGACAGTTGTAGTAGAAGAAGTGGCTTCCTTCTTTGGTTGCTTCTGGTGGAATTCTTCTTCAGGGATGAAGGTGGACTTCTTATTCCTCAAAAGACCTGCATATGACATGGCCAAGACATGCAAATCAGGTCGCTTTTCCTTCTCTTTTGCAATCAGCTGCTCCATGCACTTCTCAATGTGAGCTGAGGTCTTGGTCATGGCTGGGAAATGTGGAAGGATACGCATGAGCACAACCAGGGCATTACGAATCTGGACATAATCCTTTGATTCCAGGCACATCACCAGTGCCTTGGTGACCTTCATATGCCACTTGTGCGTGATGCGTCGGTAATTTTCATAGTCCACTATGTCATGCACATCTGAGGGTTTGTTAGCCACTCGCACATTGAGCTTCTGGATGAAACCTGGGTAAGAGCTGCATTCCTGGTCAAACACTTCCTTGTCTCTATGCCAGTGCATCACATAAGACAGGGCTTCACACAAGAATCGTCCATAGCGGCTTGCCTCCTTCTCTGTGCAGCATGTCACTGTCTGTGATATGTCACAAAACAAGCGATCCAGGACAAGAAGAGTTGAGAAATGAGGAGTTTTGAGGCTATGTACTGTTAGGATGAACTTGGCACAATAGATGGCATCAGCTGCTGTGAACCGACATCTTGGGAAGATGCAGAGCTGGAGAAATTGATTGATAGTAGCATTCTTCAGTCCAGTTGGAGGTAACCATGTATTTTTTTCTTGACTCAGTCGTGCCATGACTCGTTCCACATGTTCCTTCTGTCGTTTCTCCTCATCCAACAGTTTGGGGCCTTTCTCCTGCTCCTTCATACGCTTCTTGTTGGACCCAAAGTCAACTGGGAGGCTGCTCAGTCTCTGTGCTTCCTTTGCATACAGTTCTGAGGGAACATACAGGTCTGACAGTTGCAGAGTCCAAAAGGTAAAGTAAAAATCCATATTAAGATCACCCCAGCCCTTCATGGTGATATAGGAAGTGATGGCTGGCTGAAACCTCTGTATCACAAATCGGCTAGCATCAATGTATATCTGTTTTCTTTCCTCATCTTTCAAGCTCTTCCACTTTTTCTCAGCCTTTCGCAACTCTTCATACTTTGCATTGATCATGTGACTTATCATGGGGCGTGTGAGAAAAAAGGCCACATCAGGATAAATATTATAATCCTTCAACATGGCATCCAGATCTGGTAAAAGTGCCACATATTCTTCAATGTTGAGGTTGAGGGATAGAAATGTGCCAAACTGAATGAGAGTGTCTTGGCATTGGTCATAGAGTTTTCCAACTACTTTCAAATGGTTTGGTCCTGATCCATCACTCTGGGTCTTGAAAACAATGGCATCACGTTGCTGTGCCATAAGTAAAGCCAATGGGATGGCTAGTTTTGTCTCCATTAGAGATTCCTTCAGCCTGGCTGATGAACGCTTCGTATTGCGCACCTGAACAAACTGGCCAGCCTCTTGTCTAAGGAGATCTCCTCCAGCAGATGCTTCTAGCTGTTCAGCAGTCAAATCATCGATGGCCTCAATCCCGCTCACCTTCTCCAACAGCTCCATCATTACAACAAGATCATCTGTTTGTACAGCTTGCAAGCGATTGGCCACAAACTGTAGGATTCCACTGAGATCAAAGGGGAACTTTTTAGCAAGTGCTCCAATGAAAGCTGCAAGGGTCTGTCTTGCATTTGGAATCTCAGAGGTTGGTTTAGCCAAGCATTCCACAATGCAAAATGCCAGAACATCAAGTGACAGCTGAGAAAGGAACTTAAGGGATTCAACCATTGGGCCAATGAGGTTATCATACAGCTGAATCTGCATGAGGACATAATCAAAGAGGAAACCAGGGGTACTATGGGAGAGTTTCCCAATTGTCCGTCCAGATGGCTTCACTGTCTCCTTGCTAAGTCGCTTCATTACAAACTTTATTTTTTTCTGGGCATCAGCCTTTCGACGGATAAGGCATGGGTGCTGATGATAAATCTCATTCTTCCATGAATGATACAGTCTATATCGATGATGATATGGGTAAATCTTCACCAGATTCCACAGTTCTTGAGAAAGACAGCAGTTGCAGTCTAACATGGAGAGGGAAGGGAGGAGGACCTCATCCAGAAGGTTTAAGACTTCATAGTAAGCTGAGTCCTCTTGACTGGCCTTGATGTCTTGCAGTAACCAAGAACATAGACGTACCATTTTCCCCAGCAATCCTGTATCCAGGGAACAGAATGGCCCCAATGCCTTCAACATCATGAAGACCTTCTCCATTTCCTTTCTGACATCTCTAGAGAAGGCATTGTTAGGTTTCTCAAACCTCAAACGATAAACAGGCTGGATCCTCTTGTGGATCAGGGCACAGAGGGCTTGTGAAACCTTAGGATGATTGACACCAAAGAAAGGAGGCATTTTTCCAAGGAGCTGTTGAGCATGTTTCCAGTCTCCAACTTGGAGTAATGCCTCCACAAGGTCTACCTTCTGATTCACTCCCACTTTATGCAGAACACTTTCTGATAACACCTCTTCATCCTTGGTATCCTCTCCCTTTGTGGAGATGATGTGAACACGCCTTGCATATTCGTTAGCACAGTTGATCTCCTCCTCCATCTGCTTCACCATGTCCTTCTCATGAGGAGACAGCCAAAAATATACTTGCTCAAGTTGAATGAGCTCATTCTGGAGAAGAAGTGCAGTCAATTTGTACAGGGATGGTGAAGGATCTGGGTTGGCATACTTGAAGCCCAAGAGTTCACAAAGTGTTTGGTTTTTCTCTCCAACTAGTGCTTTGAGCAGGGTCACTAAGGACTGGTTGCTAGAACACTCAATGGCCTCAAGCACCAAATCCAACACTCTATTGGGATCTAAGTTGAAGAAACCAATCAGAGCTTTGATGACTTCCAGGAGCTGCTCTTGTGAATAGTCTCCATCTCCTTGGGTCAGCTCAGATACCAATTTCGCAAACCCTTCACTCTCTTCACGAAGAAGGTTGAATTTCTGCTGCTTGTAGTACAACTTCGTCTTGAGCTTGATGAATTTTGTGTAGAATGCTGTCTTACTATTGATGAGGCCAATATCCTGCAAGGATTCAATCTCCAACCTCTCTTTGAGAAGCCATTCACATTTACTGACTGGGAACACAGAGAAGAATTTCAAGAAATGTTGTCTCTCTGACTTATCTTCCTTCGCCATTGTTTCCAGATCAAAAGCACTGATTACATCCAACACCATGGAAGGGTCAGACTCCAGAAAAGGGTTTAGCTTTTTCATACCATTATCATAGGATGATTGACCTTTTATGACTGCTCTTATAACATCATACACTTTGCTGGAGTTAGCCTCAATTTCCAAGAGCTCCTGTTTCACCATCTCTGAATTCTTATGCTCTATGGTTGCCATTTTCACAATTTGTGCACTACTTGTTCCAAATGTGTAAGTATTTCATCCTGCAATAAAGAATAAAGTACAACAATAAGGTCTCACATAACTTGAAAACATCATAACAAATCATCTCTAAAACAAATATATTCCAATGAACATGTCTACATATGAAATCTGTGCAAGCCTGCAAATTGCTACTCCTTCATACAAACCAGACCTAAGGCTTTTTCTTAAAATATGAACCTATTTTTCTTAAATTCGCACACTTTGTGAGTTGCCTTGGTCAAAGTAACTCTGGAAATCATGGATCAGTTGAGCAAAGGTTTGAAATTGGTCTCTATTTTGTCACCAAGGGCCTCCTTTCAAATGAAAATGACACTTGATTCACCTAAGTAAATATCTCTACTGCCTTAATATTTGGACAAGAACTCAAAGCTTCCTCCAAGTCTATTACTCTATGACAAAGAGAAAGGAGATGAACAAAAAAATAAAGCAAGGCAGCAGCAACATCCACACTGAGCTACTCTCAACCTCTGCGCATTACTGAAGGAACCAAATGCCAATGAACAACTCTGTTTCATGTGCACACATGAAGCATGATGGTCAACAGCAGATGGTTCCATTTGATGGCTAAGGCCTACCAGTCACAACCTATTTCAAATGAGTTTGACATTTTCTACAAGGTCCTCTAACATACTCAGTCCTGAGAAAGCTCCACTGAAACCTAAGTGTTAGGTCCATGCCTACACTATTAGGCCAATGGATGGTCAACAATTTGAAATATTTCAACCATCTCCACTCTTAAAGTAAAAAATATTCATTTGTGAAATGACAGTATGGTTCATATCCTTAACTATTGTTTTAGTGATTAATTTCTGTTTCTGTACCACCTCTGGGTAGTGAGGAATGGAGACTGCACTATAGCAGAGGACCTGCTTCATCAAATTAGCCATGAAACTAACCATCTGGAAGATGTTTCTGCCTCCAATCAATGGAAGTGCTATAAGGAAATAGAATTCAATCTGAAAACAGTGTCGTGGCATTCTAGGATCAATATAATTACAAATCTTCCTAAATTATATCCTTCCATCTTCTCAAGATCTAAACTTTATCCTATTTGATATTGATAAAATGTTTTCACGTGAGTCAAGTGAAAAGCACTGTTATCAAAAACTTCTCAATTCCTACAAGCACTGAAAATGTCCATGCCTTTTAATATACAGGGTGACTCACAAGCAGGTGCCCAATAAACTCTGCCTATTACTTTTGTTGTAAATGGGGTGGGGATGCAGGAGTCATGAAGTAGATCATCTTAAGAAGTTTTCTCTGTTGCAAGTTATTAAGAATGGCTACACTGACCAAGAAGCAAAGGTTGTTCATTGTGGAATAATATTTCCTGATGAAATTGCTCATCACCATGCAGTGAAAATGTCGACTGCAATTGAAAATCATATCCCAGATAACTTTGATGTTAGATATACATGACATACACGCATACGCAGTTTTAATTAAATGAGTGAAAATGGCTAAAATTATTTTATTTCTTCTCATTAAATTGAGAATGATCATACCTAAGAAAATGGGAAGAGCGCGTGAACATAAGCTGGAGAAAGGCCCTTTTTTTTTATCAGGCTTGAAAGTTTGTGGCATGAGCCATCGAAGCCACTTACTAAATACTAAACCTAGAATGAGCACTATTTTCCTCTTTCTCCTCCTAACGTTAGACCTATTCGCATCTCTTCTGGTAGCGAAAACCACATGCGAAGTTGATTCGGCCTCAGTGTACATCATAAGAGCGCCGCCATCACGGATATGCAGTGCTACTCAAATGAATTAATATTGCCTGTAACATTGTGCTTGTCATATCTATCATCCTCAGACCCAAGAATAAAAAATAAAATAAAACTCAAGGGATTTGGTGCATGCACATGCCACCCAGGTCTTAGGAGGCTATAGTGCTTGGAAGGAGGTAAGGGGGATACCTATCGCGAATGAAGTGGCATTAGGCCAATGGAGGCTACCTGTATAATAGCCTTTCTCCTCTTTTGACCTGTCATCCTGGAGCCGCTACTGCGTATTTTTTTTTTTTAGAGGGAACAAACTATACCTCCCTGTGAAAATCAGTATAACATAAAAGTTGGGATCCCTGCCTCAAGGCCTTCACCCTTCCTATTTGTAGATTCATTCCCTCCGTACAGTGGCGTAGCTACCGAATGTGCATGCGGTGCGACTACACCTGGGCCCACGGGCAGAGAGGCCCAGACGCCAAGCTATGAAGAAGGAGGAAGGCAGGGGAGGAGGGGGAGGGGGGAGGCGTTAGCTGGGAGCCCCTTGGCATCGGGACAAAGTGAGTGTCAACAGCCGAAAAGAAGGTCGAAAGGAATCTAAGGATTTCAACCCCACTGCACAGAGACATCTCGCAACTGGGACGCCGCTTCGTGTGGTTAAATGAAGTGGTGGCCATTTCCAATACCATTCACCCAGGGCCGGATTAAGGAGGGGGGGGGGGGGGGGGGGGGANGGTAGTTGAGGCTCTCGGTGGGTGGGAAAAGGGGAAGGGAGGGGGGGGGGGGGGGGGGGGGGGGGGGGGGCAAAGGGGGCTGATGCCCCGGGCCCCACTTTCCCAGGGGGCCCTCGAAGGAAATTGAACACATTAAGTATTTGCGTAAAGTTGTGGGGGGGACTGCCTCTCCTCTGACCAAGTTCGCAGTCTATTTTTTAAATGTAGGAGCACATAAGTTAATGTTTATTAGCTCCTGTGAAATATATATTCAGGGTTTTTACCCCAGACGAAAAATGAATAAGGCGAGATAGGACAGAGGGTGATGGTAGATGGGGGGGGGCTATGAAAAATTTCTGTATCCGCCACTGCCTTCCACTGACTTCAGCTACCGACGACGATTTATATGCTGCCGGAGAAAATCTATAATAATACAAATATGACTCCCACACAATTCAATAGTAAGACAGCGGGCTCCGTTTCATTCCTTGCACCAGGGCTCATGCCAACCACGCTACGCCACTGCCTCCGTAGAAATTCAAATGCCAACTCTCAGCATGTCCTCCGTTGGTTCTTCTTGGGCAAACATTGGTATTTTCTACATTATCAGCAAAAAGCCTGCAAGCGTCGTATATTGAAGTTATCTCAAGAATTGCCGAATCTACTCGAGATTAGACACAGCACGGTTACGAAATAACTACTTTGTAGTAGTGGATCGTTGTAGAAAACCTTTGAGAAAAATATTGAACACTTCCCGTACTATTAATACTATCGAGCGTTCTCGCTTTATGTAGTACTACAGTGATTTTCACTTGAGTCTGACATTTTTTCACTTGACTTCGACACTCATGCATGAGGAACGTCCCATGGACGTGTGTTCAAGTCAAGTGAAATATTGTCTAACTGAAGCGAAAAACACTAATAGCGATTCCATCAAGGTTACTGGATTCCATACATTTCACATAAACACGAATTAATGTTAAGGCGGAATGGAGCGCAATAATATGTGTCTGACATTTTCAATGGGAAGCAATTCCTATCTCAAGGCCAAAGATGTAAGATAGTGATGACGTATTTCGGAATGCCGTTTGAGTGGCGTATTTCGGCTGAAGAGTCAGGAGGGGGGGGGGCAGCAGAGCGCCAATTCCCACCCGAGTGATATCAGCGGAGAAAAGTATTATTGAAGGGGGCGCTCTGTCCCGGAGGCACCCTATTCCCCCGTAAAATTGTGGAGTCCTCCTTGTGCACTCCTATGAAAGGGGGGAAGAGGAAGGAGGAAGAGCCCCCAGTTCCCACCATGAATGGCAATAGGGTGAGTGCTGCGAATGTCGGCACTCTAAGCAAATTTTTATCTTCCACCTTACCAAGTGGTTTCTGTAATGGAGCTTCCTCGTTCGTGTTGGGTCAGATCCAGTGGCGGCTCGTGATATTTAGCGCTAGTGGTTCGTCTACGGAGCGGGAGTAGGCAGGGGAGGACACTGCCTACCCCCTCTCCCAGTCTCCCTCCATAGACGAAACATTAGCGCTAAATACGACGAGCCGCCAGTGGTCAGGTCCAGTAGCGTAGCCAGGGTTTCGCCAATGGGGGGGCTAAGCGGAACGATGGGGAGGCTTACTTCTCCTCGCCCTGTGGGGTGAGCTGGGGGGGGGGGGGTTGCATTTAGACCGGAGTTGGGGGGGGGCTTGAACCAAACTTGGGGGGGCTGAAGCCCCCCCAGCCCCCCCCCCCCCCCCCCCCCCCCCCCCC